CCCCTAAAGAGACGCACGTGAGAGCCCATGCTGAAAACAATTTTTACAAAACTTTCGATCGTCTTTTACGAAAAGGGAAAATTCCTTAAAGACACCCTTATGAGAGCAAAAATAGAATTTAAAGGCAACAATGCGACGTGATCACAAAAGCCACATGGGGAAGTCGAGCCGGTCTGTTTTTTTCCTTTATTCTATAGGCTTTTCATCGTATTTTGAATTGGCTGCAGGGGGTCCTTGAGTCCACGAAAATTTAATGTCCAAGCTCTCCAGTAATTTATGGAATAGTTTATTCTGCAAACGAGTTTATTGTAATTTTAAAATGTACGTCCCTTTTTAGTTTGGCCTGATCGTGTGTGGAACAGTACAGAAAACATAGTAGTAGTGGTAGAGGGACTTCGAGTTTATGACCTGGAGGAAGTCATGATAATTTAATTGAGAAACGCCCCGAACGTGATGCTTTTGACAAGTGTGATTTATGAATAAAAGACACGTGTCTGACAGCTCCTTGAGAGTCACTATAAAAGAAGATGCCGAACATTTTGTTACACATCGAAAGGAATCTTTGGTAAGATTGTCGCCTTTCTGAATCCTCTAGAACGATGAAGTTTGCACTTGTGGTTCCAATACTGCTAAAGCTTTTTCTTGCCACGGACGCATGTACCGAGATCCGAGTGATCGCCGAGGATAAAACGGTCGTAGTCGCACGAAGCATGGAGTATATGATAGATCTCATGTCGGACATCATAGTAGAGCCCAAGGATTACCCCCACACTGCAGAACGACCAAAGACTTGTTCTTGTAGTTCACCAACCATGACCTGGAACAACAGCTACAAGATCGCATACCTTAACGGTTTGGACTCGCCTATAGCCGGTGCTGACGGCCAAAATGACGCTGGACTCTCCGTGGGCTCACTCCTCTTTCCTCGTTTTTCTAAGTATCAGACCATCCCCAAAGAGAAGTGTGACTCGGCCATTTCCAACTTGGAGTTTGCGATATGGGTTCTGGGCAACTTTGGAACTGTTGAAGATGTGAGAAGGGCTTGGAAAAAAGACTCGTTCCCACTTGTGTGGGAGCTACCTCTGAAAGGGGACTCCTTTGAGCTGCACTGGTCCATCACTGACAAAAGTGGTGGCGGCATCGTTATTGAGTACTCCGAACAGGGACCAAAGCTGCACGAAAATACAATTGGTGTCATGACCAACTCTCCACCCTATGACTTCCACATGCTGAACCTCCGCAATTACGTCCATCTTTCCAAGTTCGCTCATGATCCTTTGGTATTGGGTGAAACAACGTTCCCAGCCACTGGCCAAGGAAATGGACTTCTTGGTGTTCCAGGAGATTTCACTCCTCCATCGAGACTGGTACGATCTGCAGCCATGGTGCACTTTGCTGATAAAACTAAGAAAAGTGACGAGGCAGTAAATTTGGCTTTTCACATCCTGAACACTGTTGATATTCCTCGCGGAGTCGCTGCATCCCATGATCATGAAGATATGGCCGACTACACTTCTTGGATTGTGGTCAAGGACCTCACAAACAAGGCAATGTACTATCGCAGTTATGAAGATCTCACCATCCGCGTGATTCATCTTGACAAAGTGACCCCTGGCATGAAGTTGAAAATCAAAGTTGGAAGCCCTACTATTGGTGGGTTTGTGGATGTCACAGGAGATCTTCAGGGTGCTCAAGCGCATACTGAACTCTAAGTAACAGAACTGTTTCACTGCTTATTGCTTATGTTTTCCCGTCAATTACTCCTATTAATGCTGGTGGTTGGCTTTTCGTGTACGTTGTCATGATAATTTTTTCAAAGTATCTACAATTTGTGTATGCTTTTTGAAGATCTCACCTGAGGCAATCCTCGGGTAGTCTTTAAAACGTTATTATTGTCGTTTAAGTGAAGGTCTTGACAATTCTTGAGAAATAAAGCACTCTTGTTAGCATTTTGATTGTGTACGACATTCCCAAACAAAAATTACCTTTATCTAGAAAAATACAACAGGAGTACGTAAAGGGGAAAAGATAAAGGGAAGAGTGTCTTAGAGCTTGGGGAGCCCTTTGTTCTTGTTCCTTTGTTCTTCTTGGGGCCTGAATGTTCCTGAAAACCCTCATAAAAGAATAGGAAACGTTTTTTGTAAAAAAATTTGAAAAGATTAAACGCATGAATGCGAAGATAAGCAAAGTAATCTAGAATCACCCAACCCTGGACTTCTCACCATATCGCCTTGGGTAACTTGCAGAAGCTGAGAAGTAACTGGTTGACACGAATTTTATTGAAAATAGGGTTTTGCATGCGATTTGCTCTGAAGCGAATGAGCTAAAGAAACCGGCACGTTTAGTGAGGGGTTAAAAAGTGACCCTGTATTCTGTAGTTTAGCTAAAGCAGAATATTGATAGTGAACTCAACTACGACTGAGCCTACATGGCGTCCCATACTGAGTTCTATAAACATTAATTTATGTCAGACATTTTGGCGAATACCTCGTTAGCAGAAAACCCCCCAGACCCATTGTGAGAAAAGCTCCCTTTCTTGGCGTGAGGCATGCAATAGTTTAGATTTTAAATTTAGATTGCGTGACGATTGGTAAGATCGCGTGAGGTGTGGAACGAGTGGAAGGGGAGGGGAGGGAGGCGCTATTTATAATTTCTTTGTTCCGGGCTCTCCTCGATCTTACCAATCCAAAATGGCGGATTCATCACCCAACCGGAACACCGAGCATCCGCTCGCCAAAAAATACACCTGCAATACAGGCTAGGCATGACATAAATTTAACTTTATATTTTGGTCTCATTGATGTACGCACAAATCTAAATGACTGAAGATAGCTTCAGTTTCCACAGAGAATAATTAGAAATAACTCACTTTCGTCACCTACAAGTTTCAGTTGTCGATACTCGTCTCACCTCCAAGGGAGGCAAAAAACTCATGGAAAATCACATCACTTGCTTTAATCAAGTTAGAGATGGCAGAACCTGCAACGGGAGGGCCTTCTTTACCGGAAAGTATTTGTAGATATGAGGAATGGGTGCAGGTTGATCCAATGACTTCGCCTCCGAACGACTGGATTTGTTCGCTCTTGATAGAAAGTGCCTCTGATGGGAAGTATTTTGGAAGTGGATTCGTTATTCATACTATTTTAATGGCATAACCAGTACAATATGCTAATGAGGACTTCAAATAAAGGTTTTGAACTTAATTAAGACTTGAAATCAATATCTTAATTGTTAAACACACCACGTGTAAGGAAGACGCCACCAGCCTTAGAGGTTCAGCAGTTATTCGACTGTAATCACAATATATAAATTTAATGATGTGATATGGCTTTATTATGTGGTCCGTTGTTTTGTAAATCTTAAATAGGTGTGAAACATACCGCAATGTCATTGGTTTAAAAACATTTTAAGCGGTGATGCGGTGTCCGATATGTCCCGTAACTACTGCTACATGTATATCCTTCGAAAGGTCTTCAGAGTTAATGGACGTAGTATACTTACTTAAGCAGGGACAGTGGAGTTAGGGGCGCTGGGGACGTTCGTGGGGGGGTGGGGGGGGGCTTTAGCCCCATCCCTACGACATTTTGTTTTAGTATGCCGCGGTACTTAAAAAAAGAGAAACGAAAAAGTTTTCAAAGGCTACAACCTTAGATAAAACCTGTTAGAAACTTTTCGACAGAAAATATCTCCTGCAGAATGCTTAAAATTTTATTTCCGAGCCTCTAGATTTCAATTTTTTCTGGGGGACGATAGCCTCAGACCCCCCTACGCACTCGCACATTCAGCATGGTAATGGTAATGGTAATGGCAATTGTAACTTCAGCAAATATTATAAAATAATACAAGATCAACTAATTATCCCTAACTAATCTAAATTACATACTAAAAGCTGCTTTACGAGGATGCCGTGTTAAAACTCATTCAAAACTGTAGTGACGTATGTTAAGTTTAAAATCATGTAAAGATGTTGCTGCACGAAGGTCACTAGATAGGCTGTTCCACAACCTGGCTCCCCCGAAGCTACCCCAAACTTTTCAATTGGTTTATTTCAAAGCCAAGTGAAAACCACCATTTTATTCCCTGACATCCAAGCATCAGCTGATTACAGAGACTGATGCTTGATGACAGATCATTTACCTCCTAGTGAATCGTCAAAGGATATACTTACCGTCCTCTTCGTCTTATCTTAGGGAAATCCATGCACACTTTAACGGGACATTACAGTTGGGACGTGCACAAGCCTTGGGGTTACGCAGATACAGTCTCGCGTTAAACGGAGACTTCAACGCAAAACCTCAATATTACACGTGGCGAACTACTCAGTAAATAACAGTTTTTTCTTGTTCCGAATGATCATTTATTTCTTATCATTAAACGCAGAACCTTTTGAACACTTTCCACTAAAGAATAAGTTCTAGGGATATTTTTGTTTCTCACATTTTCTCTGACGGCTTTCCAGGGAAAAGAGCAGGAGAAACCGTGGTACACTAACGTTCACTTTGTTGGTGTTGCGGCGAATATACACAGGCTATAAATATGTCCGTGATTTCCTCAGGAAAAATCTAGAGGATCAAAACATCTTAGAATAAAAATAAAATTAAAACTATACCATATTTCACACCAGAAACGCACTGAGTTACATACACTATCCTGAAAAAAATTTTTTTCAAAAGCCTTCCCTTTACTGCAGCGCACAGAGGAATCAATATTCTCCCCTTTGACGTTGAGCAATTCTAATAAATTTTTCCTTAATCTTTCTCTGCATGGTAAGAGTTAGTTTTTTCATAAAACAGACAGATTATCAACACTCATAGCCGTTCAATTAGAAACTGAACATGCATGGAACGAAATAGCAATCGGCGCGATAGAAGCCGAGGAGGGAAAAATCAAGAGAGGCTTGGGACGGGTAGAAAAAAGAACGACCCAACTCGACCCAAGCTTCCCTCGCTTTTCCACTCCGCTCTTACTATCACGCCGTTATCATTGCGCTTCGTCTTCACCTAACTGAACGACTGGAACAGGGTACAACACTCACTATTTGCCTGTTTGCAATGCTTGAGAGCCTCACTGAAATCTTTACATAAAGTGATTTCTGCTTGGTTCTGAGCACACTCCACAAACTGCTGTAGTTCGTACCGACATGGCTCATGATTCTGCTGCTGAAGATCATAGTGTTGCTGCTTTGATTCTGTGCCTCCTCGTGTACCAAGTAGAGCTTCGCTTGCAGCATTACCCTGAAAGCAAATGAGTGTCTATGAGAATTTAAAGGCCTCTCTACTGTAGCTCTTCGTACCTTTCTTTCTTCCTTTCTCCCCTCTTCGCAGGAATCGTATCTGATTTCACTTTCAGATGCAAAGGGCTAGGCTTTCCTCATATTTATATCAATCCACAACTAGTTGATAGATCCACATTTTTTATGTCTTTTTTTATCCAGGTCTGTTTAAAAATTCAAAACAAAGAGGAATAAGGTAAAGAGAAATTGAGTTTCCTCTTAATCATGTGATAAATATTTATCGCGATTCAGTGAAAGGAAACGTCATCAACCATTTTTCTAATAGATCGGTAAAGTCAAGAGATTTTATTGCGTTGTTGACTTCCAACTTCTTTTTAGCCTTTGCACGGTGTCAACATGGGATGAGTTCTAATCAGTTAGTGTACTTAAGCAGTCGTCCAAAAGCGTAGTGGAAATTAAGTGAGAAGCTTCTGTTTGGGGTTTTTAGCGAAAGCCAAAGGCAGTCTCAACCCCGATGGGCCAAGGGTAGCCTATCTACTGGCATTAGCGAAACGACGCGCCTTACCACAACCGAACCGACTGCTACACCTGCAGCTGTGGAAGCCATTTGCCCAAACAGTCCAAGAGGTTTTGATTCCAGTTGAGCCAGGTTAGGAGAAGATCTTTTTTCAGGCACGGTAGGGCTCTGCTTTGACGAGCCTTGAGATGATCGTCTTTGAGCACGAGGCATAACTGTTAAGTATCTTCACGAAAAATAACATAAAAATTTAGACAGCAAGGTAATAGTCTTCCGCAAGAAAATTTCGAGGCTGCTCTGAGGATCAATTGTTGACGTTCTATCGTTAAAGTTCAATTGATGTGATAATTACTTTGACGTCATTAAGATCATTCCATGCGAGAATCGACAGAGTTCTCTTAAGTTAACGACTCTTCATCTTCAGCGAGCTCTCGAATCAGTTCAACTATTTTTAAGTGCTAAAGGAATATCTGCTCCAAGAGTATTTGTTTGCATGCGATGAGCTGAGGTTATTCAATGCCGTAACGCTTTCGCAATATTTTTTCTTTCAATTAAATAATGAAACTATTATCCTACACATTTTAACGCAAACACATGCAGACAAGCCTGAAAAGAGCTACTGATAAACAAAGCTAAGAGTAAAAGGCAGACGGCGACGGATCGCCTATTTTAAAACATAAGATTTCAGAGAATTTGTATAAAATTGGCTGCAATAGTAGTATTTCAAGACTTCAGTGTGATCAACCGGCTCTTACTCGCTTGTGCGTTGGATTCCACGACACGATCACGTTAACAACATTTATTGCTTATCATACTTTTAAGCTCGCATCCAAGCTATTTAACGACTGGCTTCACTGATCTCATGAAGTAGAGGACCACAGCTTCTTTCCCAGGATCGTAAGAATGAAGTTTAACCACGCATATAAAATTAAGACAGGGACGGGCGAGTTATAACAGTATTTAAAGGGCTCGTTTAGTTTCGCGTTTCTTGGGCTCTTTAGTGCGCAGGATGCTTCATATTTTCCCCAATACATCTGGTGCTATCAAACACAAGACTGTTGGCAAGGACTTAACAATCATACATATAATTTTTCACGGATGTTTTTATGGGCAATCCAAAGCTATACTTGGTGGACAAATTATGTGGAAAACCTGACTGGTCCAATGAACAGGAATACACAGTGTGCGCTCTCGTTGGTTTTTTGATTTACTTGCATTGTCACATACGGGAAGTCACATTTATGTGTACCTACAAATAAATCTTCGACTACCCCTACCTTATCAGAACGGAAATCGTACGATGTACGATTCCTTTTTATTTCAAATTTTGCAATTGGATTTTTATTATTCAATGCAATAACAAGAATTCCTCAGTTCAAGCAAATTGCCAAGTGCAAACACCTTTTTACAAGCATCCAAGCACCTTTTATAGCCAAAAAGAGTATTTGTTGTGTGATTAAGAAAAGCCAGTGATCACAGCAATGAATCTTGCTTGTCTTCACATCTGGGCAGCTGCACAAGCATCCACAGTGATAATTTTTCTCAGGAAAGGCCTAAAAAGCACCAAAAAAATTAACACACCTTTGAACTTTGAGCTCCCAGGCAAAAAGTGTCTAGAACAAGAGTTGACTGCTAATTACAACATAGTATAAAGAAAGGAAAAGCAAATTGGTAAAATCATGTTTTGATTGTAGTTGCTTGTCAAGGAAAGTTGGAAGATTTGTGGGTGGATTTACCACTTTCAAACAAAAAAAACAAACATGTGGGGAAGATATGATATAACAGAGATTTGGTGTTTAAAAAACAGCAAAACCGTCTTGAGCTACCTTAATCACATACACAACAAATAAATACTAACAATGTCATCCCACGTAAAAAAAAAAGAGGTTAAACTAAACACTCCTCACCATTTCTAAGTTTGCATTCCCTGAGCACATCATTAAATCCCTGGCACAGTGTAATATCTCCCTGATTCTGCGCGCACTCCACAAACTGCTGCAATTCATACTGACAAGGACCCCCCAGACCCTGCTGTTGTGGAGTAGAATAACTCTGGTATGGCGCTGCAGCCATGTCTTGTTGATACCCAGCTGGTTGCTCTGATCCACCAACATGGCCACCAAACAAGGCACCACCAATAGCATGACCCTAAAGACACAGACAAGGTATGTTTTGTACAATTATCTACTCCAATATAGATCAATGTTCGGTTGCTATGGTAGAAGATGAGACTTAAGTAAGAGGTTCATGACCACTATTCGTTGGGCTGTACAACCATAATTGTCACAACTTACTACACGTCTTTGAGTATTACTTTTTCAAAACATTATGTGAAACAACAACACATTTTGTGCTAGTTCTGACCAAAAGGAAGCCTGAATTTCAGAAATCTCTTCACTTCTTCAATTTCCACAACAAAGTACAGTAATTACTAGATGCTTTCCATTAAGAGAATGGACTAAGTGACCTGAATAATGGCAACATCAAGTGGAGATTAAGTTACGCATGCCTTGGACAGTGCTGATAAAGATAACTGTTTTCTGTTTAACAAATAAGTTCCGTGTTGCTGTGCATCTTTACAGAATTATATAACAGATGATGTCAATATGTGGTAAAAGCGCGAAGAAAAAAAAAATGATAAGAACAAACACAATGGCACATGAGGCACAGCCAAGTGTGTATATTCTAACCAAACTTTAACCTCTTTTATGATCATTTACGGTACAGAACCTTGGAAACATGAAAGCTACTTGTTTGATATGATAAAAGACCACTGGTTTACAATCTTTTCTTAGAAATAAGAAATTTTGACTTTAGTGTTATATTGATCAGGTATAGAGTAAAAATAGTTTTTGTAAAAATAACAAATTAAAGTTACACAAATTCAAACAACTTTCTGAAGAACACTAGCGTTCACTCCTTACCACGGTAGAACCGATTGCCACCCCAGCAGCAGTAGATGCCATTTGGCCAAACAGTCCTGGCTGTTGTGGTGAAGCCGGCTGAGCCACGCTAGAAGCTGGTCTATTTGCTGGCACACTAGAAACTGGCCGCGGAGGTGCTCGGGGCGGCGCTGATGCCTTACCAAACATAGGAGATGATCGGCCACTAGATCGTCTTCCACCACGAGGCATTTTTATGAAATCTTATATCAACTAACTTCGTAAAAGTACCATTAACTTATGTAATTTATTGGAATGAAACAAAATGGCGTCGACTTCTGATGCAAACTCAGCCGTAATTGGCTCATCATGACGTTACCTTCCCAGGTATCATTGTTCCAGATAACTTGTCCCCAATCTTCTCTCAGTAAAATTAGACGTTACTGTTGCGTTACTTTTCAGAATTCATAATCGTGTATTGTAACTAGCTTATAAATATACTCTGCATGTAGGGAAAATGATTAAAACGCTTCAATTATAACGTTCTTTCCAAGAGCTTTTATTATGACAGAGATTTGTTTTAAAAATGATCTCTCAACATCTGCGATCAAACACCTCGGATCGGAGTCAGTGAAGTTTCACAAACGAAAATAGATAACGGTCTTTCAATATTCTTTTAATCATACGTACAGTTTTCTTATTGAATTTCTTTCAATACGTTTATCACTTACCTGTAAATTGGCTTTAAAAAGCTCTCCAGGGAGAAACTACATAAAACAGTTATTTGCCTCAAATAATACTTTGATTAGTTGTTATGGCAACAGTGAGTAAAATGGTCAGTCCATGTAATCGAGGCCTAGCACGGCTGAAGAGGCATTCGACAGACGTGAAGGATGATTAACTATCAATGTTTATGACTTAAGCGGAGTGTCTGCACCCTAAATTATGGAAGAAGGATCGGAAAGGATTTCTACACCGATCCGCTCACCTTCAGAAAAAGATTCTGTAATTCTTAGCCGTGCCAGTGCGGCCAGTTCGCCCTTTGGCTTTCGCAAGGTAATCCTATACGTTCAAATTAAGGTAACCTCTAGGCAGCTTTCAGAGGTTGTTAGACACTAAAACATTGAAAATGTTTTGATGGATTATAGGCTGCGCTCAGCCCTCCAACTGGTATTTTACGAAGAGAGTCCACAGGGTCTTTATCACCCGAAGATAACTTCTTTCACAGTGCTCAGGATAAGGAAGACGATGAGGGGTTTGATACTGACCTGGAGATGGAAGGTAAGATAAATTTTGATTACGGTAGAGATCTTCTATCGTCAAAACTTAAATATATACGGTTTCGTGTAACAAATGATGAAAGCGAAACGAACTGAAATGACCAATTAGAACCTATGAATTATTTAAAAGTGATTTTCAGAACGAAATGCCCATTGCACTGAAGAAGAAAGTCCTTAAACGAGTTTCACTTTTCTAAGAGTTTATTTATTGAACAGGATTTCAAGTACTCTGCCAGTAATATCCTAACAGGTGTCTTTATTCTCGCAGTTTTAATATTGTATGAAATATTGGCGAAGTTTTCAATTGTTGTTGTATTGGAAGGGATGTCTTCATCAATTATTATCCTACCGATAAATTTTTACTTAATTAATCCCACAAGGATATTTAAGCTTGATCAGTAAACCGATTCCACATAAGAAACTTTTTTTCCGAGGTATTTTTTTCTTCTTTTTTCACTTTAAAATCAAATTTTGCCTCGCGTCTCGAAGGAATTTTTGCGTGTAATAACATGCAAATTAAAGAACGATACGCTTACTACTTTAACAAGAAGTGAATATGTTAGAGTGTTTCTCTCACGAATGTTTTTGTCATTTGAAGGATGAATTTTGTAATTGTGGCTACACAGGTTTTGCCTGGAAATTGATGAATTACACGTTTAAGCAACTCGTTCTTTTTGTCAAGTTACACGGATAACTATTCGGATTTCAGTGTGATGAAATTCCGTGACTTTTTCCCAGACATGGGCGATTCCATTTCTTTTAATAACGTCTATGCATGAATTGTTGTTGAGGGAATTGCATTTGTTATTTAAATTTCATTTGTTTCTAAATATAGTATTAACAGACTTGCTGCAAAAATTCCAACCAATTTGTTCAAACCATCATTTTTTTGCAGGTATTAAAGTATTGCGCTAGCAAAATATATCAAATATACTGACCTCTATCATGTAGAAGCCCAGAACTATTTTCTAGAAAAAAGCTCACTTTCATTAAATAAATACCTCATGAAGAGAAAGATATTTTTCACCTCCTCACAATCATGGAACAAAGGAAAAAATACTGAGTCCCCATGAGGAATCAAACCTCAGGCCTTCAGATTCCGCAGTCTGATGCTCTACCAGTGAGCCAGAGAGACTCTATGGTGAGCAAGGTCTACTATGAAGTTCATATGACATGTTCCTGCATACTGCAAGGATCAGCAATGTCGATAGCATCATGTTTGTTAATAGAATAAGAGAGATGGCAAGTTTTGAACTTGGTAAAGAAATAGAGAAATACGCTTTTCGTCTTGTTATAAGGGTGGAATCTAGAGGTCTGAGGTTTGATTCCTTATGGGGACTCAGAATATTTTTCTTTGTCCCACACTTGTGAAAAGACAAAAAATATCTTTCTCTATTTCTTTAACAAGCTTCAAACTTACCCTCTCTTTTATCGTACTTACCTTACAAATAATTTTTTATGCATTCTTCCAAAATTTTAGTACCAATTTATTTGCCTTTTTTATATTATTACAGAGGGTAAAGAAGAGTATGATGTAACTGGAAGAGCAACATATCTCCAAGCTTGCAGGGATTCTGGTGTCATTCCAGTTTCATATTTTCATCGAAACTTGCAACAACCTGACATTGACATCAAGCATCATGGCTTAGGACCAATGGGTGCAAAGGCAATAGCTATAGCTCTAGTGGTGGGTGTCATGTTCAACTTTGCTGGTTATCCTGTGCAATGAAAACACTGCCTCATCTCTATCTAACTAGGTGGAGGGTTGTGAGGGAAGGGGAGGGTGAAGTGCACTGACTCACCTCTTCCCTCCCAATGTGTGTTGATGAGGCTATGTTAAGATGAAAAATGTCCTTTGTTACTTTCATGAAATGACTTTAAAGAATATGTGTGTATCTTCAACCCACTAACTCCCATGAGTGACCAAGACAGAATTTCTCCTCACTATATCTTTTACAATATCACGTAGATAAGTGATGAGATTAAAGAAAAATATCAATATCAATATATATAGGATTACTAATTGATCTGATTCTAAATTTTCCAAACTAACATAATGAGAATCTTTTAGAGGACAGTAAAGAGAATTACTAATGACATCTTGGGAGTTAAAGGGTTTAGGTCAACTGTAATAATTAATTATTAAACTCATCTTTTTAACTTTTATAGAATCTCAGGTACTTAAGGAAGTACAGTTGTATACTGCATGTTTTTGGTGTCTCATGCTATTCATTGGACATCAATTTTTATTTTGCATAACAGACTAATACATCAGTTATCAAGTTAAACCTGGCAGATAACTGGATTGGTTCAGAGGGAGCTGGATATATTGCTGAAATGCTACGAGAAAACTGTTACATTGCTGACCTGGTATGACATTATAACACATTTGTTTCTTTTCTAGCAGTTTAGGTATGGTTTCAGATAGTGATCATTGAATATTGCTGGTATTATTAACTCTCACCTTTAACATGTTAAAATAGATGCACCCATAGTATTCAATTATTGTTTTTTAATTATTTTGTCTCAAAGGATTTATCAGAAAACAAACTGGGTGCAGATGGAGCAGAATCTGTGAAAGACATATTACTTCATAACTCAAATATCACCAGATTTGTTGCAAATGGTGAGCATAGAGATCATTTCTGACAAGATTTGTTTGAGCCAACCCGTAAGGTTATTGAGTCCACAAGAGAAAGTTCAAACAGTTGAGAAAGACAAGGTGTTAAAGTAGAAATGACAGAAAGTAGTTAGATATTAGATCATTATCTGTACTATTCCAAACTACTCTGTACTATCCATTTGCTGTGACGAAGTGTTGGAGACTGGGCTGGAATGTTGTTGAGTTTTGATTGACACTGCATGTGACTGCAGTCATGCATGTCTGTTTGGAGAGATTGTTTTTTCTTTTTTTTCTTAGAAAAAGGCATGGGAGAATAAAACAACAGTTGTGTTTATAGAAAGAAAACCTGTAATTGTGAATTAAGGATACTAAAGTTCTATTGCCACAGAGGCATCATCGATAAAAGAGCCAACACTGGAAATGTTAGCTTTAGTAACTCAGTCGATAAAACCAAATGATCTTGTCATACCCTCACTGATGCAGCACCTCCTTTATCCATACTACTGTTAGGGATGGTATTTGTTATTGCTTGCTCCAAATCAGGAATATCTCACTGCTTTTTTTAAAAATTAATATTATCTTCTAGGCAATGGTTTTGATGACAAGGCTGTTCAGATTCTGGCAGAAGCTATAAAGGTAGGGGAAACCCTTGTAAAAGTATAAACTAAGTACTTTCATTAACAAATGAACAAACTTTTAACAATGTAAATTTTCTCTACTCTATGTTTTAGAATAATACCAAAGTGAAGTATTTTAGCTTGAGTCATAACCAGTTGGGAGAAAAAGGTGGCCAGAATTTAGCCCCTGCAATAGGTAAGTAATATTTTTATATTTATTTAGTTAGATTTAGTCAATAGTTATAACTCTTTTGAAATTAGAGGTCACAAGATTTCAGGAATGATAAAATCATCGTAGTATTAACCAATATACACTGAAAGAATTTGCTTGAATTTTTAGGTTGTGGTATAATGATTTGACTGGTCTAAAGAACTCAGGGTAGTATCCTTATGATTTTTTTTCTCACTAGCTGCAAATGATAAAATTGACCATTTGGATCTGAGCTGGAATCATTTGAGAAATAAAGGGGCTTGTGCTGTGGCATTATCTCTGAAGGTTAGTTGAAGTGAATCTTGTCTCTACTTCTCACACTAGCTATAGATAACAAAATTCATCATTCAACGTTCCTTCTGATCATCTTTCTTGATAATGGAGAATGGGACTAACCAAACTCTCCTCTTGTCAGACAATAGAGGAGTAGGTTATGATAATACACCTTTCAAACTTGTTTCAGATTGTATTTTAGTGACAGTACCTGGCCATTCGTTACAGCACTCTTCATTTTGATAAAGAGAAGTCTTAAAGATACATTTTAAATACTACTATGATTTTATTTTATTTTTCAACGGGTTTAAGAGCCCAATTGAGTGATCGTTGTGTGTTGATTCTGTTTTAACTGTGGGAGACACAGTTAAAACAGAGGACTTTGACTCAAGAGGTCTGGGTTCCAGACCTGGCCAGGTCGATGTGTTGTGTTGTTGGGCAGGACACTTGACTCTCTCAGCGCAGAGATAAGCTGCGGCTGGGTGGGCCATAATGGCTCGAGTAAACCTTAAACTTTGCTTTAACTATTGCAGGAGAATTTTACTCTTAAAATTCTTAACTTGGCATGGAATGGATTTGGAAATGATGGGGCGTTAGCCATGGGGGAAGCGCTAAAAGTGAACACAACGTTAAGAGAGTTAGATCTGACGTAAGTGGAAAAAAGAGGCTTTATCATTTAGATTGCTTATTGTATAAATAAAACGAAAGAGATCCCAACATCCAGCAAGGAGGAAATGTTACAAGGAGCCAACCAGAACTCAAGATAAAAGCAATTGAATTGCTGGAAGTGCAAGAAATAGTGGGTGACAAAGGCGCGATCGGTTTTAGGTTTTTATGATGGGTATCTTTCACCTCTGTTTACCTCCATTTTGCTAGCTTTAGGAAAGGGAATGTTGAGCTTACTGTTTCAAGCGGTGAATTACTATGAATCATTTAAACTATTTTGAAAAGCAGATTTTTAATTGGGCATCTAAGATTTTATTATCATTTTAATTTCAGGAATAACAGAATAACGGCGGAAGGTGCAGTGTATTTGGCGAAAGGTTTAATGGTTAACACGTGTCTTCAGGTGTTAAAGGTAGGCCTGCAAAATTTTCACATGGTTTGATTTTAAAAGGCGAATTCCAATATTTGCGTTTATTTCTATTCCAGTGATTTCTAAATATTTATTTATTTGCCTCTTTTTACAAAGTTAATGTTAAAATATTTAAAACTTTGTTTTAGATTGGAAAGAACCCGATGCAAAGTCCTGGAGCGTATGCTCTTGTGAACGCCATGAAAAATAATCTGGAATCAAAATTGATTGAGGTTGAACTGACGGTGAGGCTTAGATATATGAAGAACAAATTTTTCCTTGTAGATAAGCAATTTTACTCAAATCCTTATCACATAAAAGTCGAAGATAAAAGGAGTCTTCATGACAACAACAATCTATTCCCCCTTAAAAGGAATCTGAAAATTATCCCAAGGATCGAATTACCAAAAACCGAGGTGGGATCGAGTTGGAATTTCGCCGACTGATTTACAAGGCTATACTGGAGCAGTTCTAGGTTATGGATTTTATTTGGCTGTTCCCTTTTCAATGGAACGAGAGCCAGGTCTCCATGTAGTCTCTTAGTAAGCCATGCTTTACAGTTTTGTCAATCAATACCGCTCATTAGAGACTGGGTTCGTGTCGTGGTCTTGGAAAATCTGGAAAGTCCTTAAATTTTATTTTGACAGTTTCCAGGACTCGAAAGTCCTGGAAAAGGACTACAGGTCTTGAAAAGTCTTGAAAACCTTGCGAACTTAAGCAAAAAACTACAAGAAATTGATGTAGACCGTAAGGAGAATTGATTTTGAAATCATGGGAAAAATCAATCTCAGAAGTGGAAAAGTCCTTGAAATGTGTTTCTGAGACAGGGTACGAACCCTGTAGAAAAAACAAACTTGCAATTTTTCGGAGAGGCTATCGTGGTAGTGGCTATCCAAAGTTTACCATGATTTCTCTCTTCTGTAAGCTTCTTACACAGTTGATGCACTTTTTTAGGACATCACGGTTAATAATGACTTTGTGGAGTTATGTAAGGAAGTGCAGCAACTTAGACCTGACATGAAAATTAGACACGGAGGAACAGGGGGTGCACCATTTAAACCCAAGAATCGTCCAACGCCCATGAAAATACTAAAGAATTACATAGAGGATAATAAGATGCGACTGTTGGATCTGTTCAATACTCTGGACAAGGATAAAAGCATGAATATCACTGTGAAAGAATTTGCTGATGGATTAAAGGTGAGGTCCTTGTCTGATCTATTTTCAGATATAGATTGTAGGTGTATATTGGCTAATAGAATGACTTGTATGTCCAAATTTGGTCATGTTCGAGCCCATTCTCACCGTTAACAACTTCATAAACTAGCGCTTCCCTCTTGACCAAATAGATGCTGAACCAAAACATTGTGTTACATTGCTATTCGCGCTTTCCCGCGCTTGGGGTCGTTTGAACGTTTGTCCTTTGTTCGTTCTGATTGGCCAGTATGTTTGCCCTGGTTCTGGTTGCATTCAGTTCAAAAATGCTCTATTGGCGCTTTAACTCCTAGAAGTGATCAACATGTAACTTCTCCCTAAAATATCCACACATTATGCTGCAAACGATCAAAAAACCAAAATCACATAACTAATTTACAAGGGAATGTGTAGCAGCTAGAGGGGAGAATTAACAATCAGATCTTGGGAGTTAAACGGTTAGCAAATGCGCATATGAAATTCAGGTTGTGATATTAGATGTTCTTTTTTGTGGCTGTCTCAACAGGAAACCGGAATTGACATGAATTATATAGAGCTGTACAAACTAATAGAGAGCTTAGACAGAAACAAAGATGGCGAAATTAATTACAGGTACGTGGCAAGTGTTTTTATTGTTATGACTTTTCAAGGAACTCAACTCATTGTGTGAACATTGTTTGAAGTGCACTCCAAGGGAATTTTACACAACCCCAACTTTCTAGACGTGGAAAAAGATAAAAGCATTCATAGGATGGGAATAAGTCTGTAGTTATTTTCAAGCTAGAGCATATGCTCGGTTTCTGTCTGCTTTTTTTAAGGTAGCCGAATTTATCGTTAATTACGCGACCAAACATTTGACACGGTTTGATCGTTAAATTTTCAGTCTTTGGGCAAACCCCCAAAAACTGCCTCTCTCTTCTTTCCGTTTGATCTGACGCATTTTCCACGAGTTTGGAAAATGAAATTTGCATAAGGGTTTGGAAAAAGTGGAAAATTTTGATTTCTGTATAATAATTATAATAATTTTTTTTTCGTTGTAGTGAACTGGTGATGGGTTCTTTAGAGCAACAAATAGAAGACCGGAAGGAAAAGATCAAAGAAAAGGCGCAAAGTGCGCGGAGGAAAAAAATTTTATCACCCTCATGATAATGTTTATTTCCCCAAACTGTGAACTCTTTACTGTTTACTTCACAACGTCCAATCAGAGTGAAGGTGAATAAGGAACCAATGAGAACTCAAAGAAAAAAACAAGCAAACGTCCAAAAGCGCGGGAAAACGAGAGTAACGTAGTTGTGAGTAGTTTTGATCAGCATGATTTGATTGGTTGAAAGGGTGGCGCGGGTTTCCAGGAGTGTGAAGTAACTCCTAACCAAAGCTATGGCGGGTCACTTTCGACAATCAATCAAAAATTGCTGTTAGGAAAGGTAATTCTTACAACTTGAGGGCAATAATTCATGTATCACATAATGAGAAGTTCAGGTTAATCCAACCAAGAATCTAAGGAATTAAATTGTGAACTCTATGCATTTAACCAACTTTTGTGTAACTGGAGTTAAAACGAACATCCTCAACCTCGGTAAATGAAATGTTGTTGGTATTCAACATGTTGGCGAAAGCAGCAGACAGATTACCAGTTCAAATAATTTTATTTTTAAGCTGGTAGAAATCTCTTGAGTTACTAGTTCTTTCAGTATTTATAATTTTCAGTGGCCATTGGACCTCCTTCTTATGAAGACTTGGAACACTAGACGAGTTTTTCTTCCTCAATGCGTAGCTTGTTTAGTTTATCTCTCATGTAATACGTGCGCTTTGATTGGTTGATTAAGCGAGCCGTACATCGCTTTGCAGCACGCTAGAATGTGAAGCTGATTTTGTTGCAAGAGAAACGATTGTTTTTTTTTCTCTGATTTATTTTTCACTGCCGCGTAATTCGAACTCTTTCTTCAAACCTATCAGACAAAGTAGCAATATGATAAGCTTAATAGTATTACAGTTTCACTGCTACTAGAAACAGCAGCCCGGTAGCAGTGCTCTTTCAACTCAAAGATACAAAATAGATCATATATATTTTAGGGAAGAAGGAAAATTCTTGTATACTAGCTATAATAACTGGTAAAGATAGTTGTAAATACCTATTTTTATAAAGTTTAGATATTGTAAATGGATTAAGTAAAAATGTCTGTTTTTTTTATGCATTTAACAGTCTATTTGTGGCCTTGTTTTACTTACTGTTTTAGCATTCCGTTATGGAGCCTTTCTCTCTTAAAGCCTTTCATAACCAATGTTCTTTGTTCTTTATCTGATGAAATCCTCACCGGGTTTAGTCTCCTGCCTAATCACATGCGAGTGCAGTTATTTTAAGCAGGTAATTTGGTGTTAACAACTGAGTTGAAAACGTAAATTAGCCACCGTAAAGGGTAAAAAAGCTGACGTACCGAGCGTTAGCCCTTCGTTAGAGCGATTGGAGATATTGTTAAGGTGAAATTAGATGCTATTTGTACCCTTTACGGTGGCTAATTTACGTTTTCAACTCAGTTGTTAACACTAAATTACCTGATATACTCTCCCACCGACGCTGCCCTACAGTTTCTTTAGAAACTAACCCCCTTTATTCAGTTATTTTAAGGACTCTCTAGATCTTTACTGTGAACCCTTATCATCATCCTCATTCCCAGGCTCTCTCTCCTTTACCTCTCTTGACTTCTCTCCTCTCTCCTTGACGAAAAAGATCGCAAAGCGGAAAGAGCCTCGGAACGAAATAGATCCATTGCCTCGTGTGAACGTTCATAAAAGCGCGCGCTCTTGACGATCGTATTCATGACGTCACAAAAGAGGATAGAGTGTGTTGAGTACTTCAAGGTTGATACAGGTAAGCAAATACCATTTCTCGGTTCTAATCGAATTTACTGCTGTACTTTGTATTATTCTGATCTACATGCGAAGTTTTTCTTGTGACGTAACTAATGAATGTATTTATCAAAAGATGTGATTTGTGTGACTGCTTCTAAAAACTTATTTCCAGTTTACAATTCATTTGTGTTATTAATTTAGTGAGGAACCCAGGCATGGAGGAAAGTTCGCAATCGGATAAAGAATTTGAGTGGGATCATCTCAATATAGAAAAGAAGCATGAACTATGTGGTTAGTTCAGATATTTGGTCAGTTATGAAGGGTTTATTCCACATGGAGTTGATTAGTGGTAGAGCCATTTTTCTCATATTTTATTATTTCACTCTTTTGCAGTTCAGCTTCTAAAAAAGACGAAGCGCGAAAAATCTGTTCTGTTTGTAAAGAACAAAAACCTGAAAAATACGATCAAGAATATGGAGGTTGAATTGTGTAAAATAAAGGACGCTTTGAGAGTAGAGGAATGCAAATTTCTTCAGCTGTATGAAAAGCTCAATACAAAAACGGTAATATGATAAAATCTGCAGGTGTCCGCCCAACTTCGCTCCCGCGGCTGGGCATTCCATCCGTTTTCTTCAAACGCTGGTAAAACTAAATATGTTTACTCAATTTATGGCGATGTTTTTCAGAGGGAAAGACTTGAATCGAAAGCTAGAGAGGAGAGACTCTCTGAGAGCGTGGACATTCTTCATTCTAAGTTGCAGAGAGAAATTTCCAGGCGAGAGCTTTTGGAGGAAAAAATCAAAATGGTAAGGGGACATCTCTGTAAAGGGTTCCAAGTTTTGAGCATGGAGCTAATTGAGGGTGGTAAAGAAGGATTCAGAGGGTGGGGAAGGGAGCTGAGGGAAGGGGAGCCCCCCCCGGATTTTTTACACCATTGCTCAACCACTAAACTCCCTTTTTGTGTATCGAGTCGCTTGGAACATGGCATCCCTTTCATATAAAAGCAGTGAAAACAGTGGATTCCATTCTATCGAATCTCGATGCAAGTTCTAATTACAAGTGAACAGCACAAGAGAATTGTGATGGTTTACATGCGAGTGTCTCAAAATATACCGCTAAACACAGGTGGTATTTCCCGACACTTATCGCGTATCTCCGTTGAGTGGGGCATTCCCTCATGGTACATAGCAGAAATTTCCCGCGAGACTTTTGTAACCCCATGAATTTCTGAGTTGGCTTGTTTTAGACTTCAGGTTTGCTCTATTTTTGCCTTTTTGGAGTCTCACGAGAAGGAACTACTGGGAAGGAGCGCGGGCTCATTTTCCTGAACAGCAGACTGTAATCGAGTTCACCTTCACCTCAAAATTAAAATTTCATACAGGAGTTTCTTCAATACTTCATTTTATTCATTTTTAAGGCTACACAGGAAAGGCCGTTGCTCGGAGTTGTTAGCCAACGATTAACTCAAGTAACAAATGCACTGAGGCGAACGCTGGGAAGGAGACGGAATTCAGTTCGAGACGAAAATCATAGCACCTAACACCTTCTCTGTTGTTGTTTGTTTGTTTGTTTTTTTAAATTTTATTATTATTGCTGACTAAGAACATTCATTACATATAAAATAACATCGACTTTATAACTGAATTTTCAACTTCATAACTCTTCCCACTAAGCTAAGATATATCCTACAAAAATAATCTGGCAATTTATGGAAGGGTTCATCATCTTTCTTTATTAGTTATCGAATTAAAACAGGAGTCCATTAAAAATGCTATGAATAAAATTAATAATATTAGCAATTCATTGTAAATGGTATCAGCTGATCTGGGACGGTAATTTTAAAATTGTTAAGTTTATTTTTCGTTTAAGAAGTCATTACAATTCTTTTTTATTTTCATCTGAAAATAAAAAGCCACGCTCTTAAACATGACGTTTCGGCGACACCATTTCACCGTTATGACAATTTGTTTCCAACATGAAAAAATCGATTATACTAATAAATTTATTTAACAATTACTCCATGAGCGCGCGTTGGATATGAGATGGTAGCTGTAAGCAATTAAGTATCCAAAAAGCGTAAATGGAATAATTGCTTTACTAAATTCTATTAAATCCTGGACGTTTGGACACTTGGAGCTTTTTTCAAGCTCCGCAACAGTTGGCCCATTGTATTTCCGTGAAAGGTGATTGGGAATATGAGCTGATAACCGGAGTTGAGCGAACCAATCAGAACACCATAAATGCAATATTCAGAGTTGAAAACCTAATAAATATATCAGGTGATTAAGCCAAGGAATATCTTAAGGAAAATTGTAAACGCTGGGGCCGCTGAAATTTGCCTATACCTTTGCTCCTCGCCATAAATAACTCGCCATAAATCTATAAACGTCTCTAAGAGAATAAAAACTCTTGAAGTCTCTGAAACTTTTGATCCACTTTGATCCCTACTGAGAGGAACACAACACTTGAGTGAAAGTGCTTTAATGATTTGCAGGCCTCAGGATATATTAAATTTTATTGTGTCAATTTTGTCTATCGGGTTATTTTCGCAAAGTATGAGTGACCGATCAAATTTAATCCTTCATCTTGCAATTTTGTGATTTTCCCTTTTCTTTCATGGAGTATTTATGCACCCATTATCCTTTTAAGTCGATCATGCAACCCATTGGCGGAGTGGTGGCATTACGCCGTGGCAAAGAAAATCGAGAAAGATTTTGGAGCACCTATATGAACATGACTGTCTCACTGACAAAACTTAAAATATCTTCATCCCAGTCTTCCTTTCTGAAACTGTCTTGTTTGCACGTCTCAGAGCTATTTCGCATTTTATTTCCGTTTCATTATAATAGTTAATAGATACATTATTTTTTATACTTTACGTGAGTAACACCCGACGGAATCCCCAGTCTACCCGGCCCAGCCTAATTGGCGAGAAGTCTGAGAACTTAAAACCCAGTCTTCTTTATAGACACAAAGTGCGCGGATCTCAAAATGGCGGTGTTAGTAGAAGGTTCGTGTGAACGTTATTGATCAATGCTTATGTGTTTTTCGAGGTGTTAAACGAAATTTTGCTTCATGCAGAAAACCGTTTAGTGTGTGACGACAGTCGTGAATGCTTAGTGTGTTGTGGAGTCGTTAAAGAACCTTTTATAAGATGCCGGCAGTGCAGGCCTGCAGTGGATATATGTTTAGAGGTTAGTTTTCTCTTCTAACTGCAACGTTCCTGCGCCGTTTCTAATTCAACACAAAACACAAACTATCTGAACAATGCATGTTTTTAATAAAATTTTTAACTTTGAAATTCTCAACTTGCGCTTTTACTGCTTCTCCCTTGTTGTCGTAGTAGTGTTAAAAATTGCAGCCGCATCAGCTGAGTCTTCATAAGGATAAAGAACAAAATTGGACGAGAACACGTGTTGGCATCGCACTCTGTTTTTTCCCCCTAATATGCCTGTTGAATGTTCCAATTTTTTTAGTGTTTTTCCAGAGGAGCTGAAGACAAGGAACACCATAGTGATCACAGTTATGAAATTATAGTAAGTAATTTACATGACATTTGAAGGGCAAATGTTAAATCTCATGTCTCACGTGATCTGTGAATAAATCGTAAGTTGCTTCAGACTGTTTTCGTTCTTTTCCTGTTTCCGCATCATTTCAATTAGGCTTGACTACTAGTTCTGTCTGGAAAGTGAGCCCTTCAAATAGTTTAAAAAAATGATGACAAATAAGAAAAAGCTTGGAAAGCACGTTCTTAGTAAGTTTCCTATTGCAGGGATACATCTGCAAGTAATTACAATTTATCAATAATTATGTAAACAAAAAGGACACAAAAATCCATTTTATTTGCCAAATTCTCAGACAAGAAACATTTGAACTGCAATACAATTATTTTATTTTGAGGCACACAGAATGTTACTTCATCTTCCAAGGAAATTGTTAATTTGGTCTTATTCATTTGCAGAGCAACAATTTTCCAGTTTTGGAGAAGAATTGGAGTGCTCAAGAGGAGTTTGACCTTTTGAATAGTATCTCTGATTGTGGCTTTCAAAACTGGTGAGCTACTTACAGATTTTCAAAATGTATTGTGTCTTGTAAAGAGGTCTTTAAGAGTATAGTTTGTTGTGTGAAAGTAAAGCTGACAATCAAGATTTTAAAAATTTTTTACTGTCTCAGGACAGAGGTTGCCAAGCAAGTTCAAAGCAAAACAGAAGAAGGTAAATGTATTTGTGATTTTTGTTTGATGGTTTGCCTATAAAACAATGATCACACAACTAATTTTTCCCTAAAACATTTTTTGTCATTATTTTGACATGATTTCATGATTAGAGAAAAACTCCATACAGTTTGTCAGGTGGCCATAGTGAAATTATTATGACTAAAGTTAATTGTTTTAAAGGAAAGCAAACCCTTCTCAAAATTCATGTTATATGGTGTATTAACTCTTTACACCCTGAGATCAGTATTCATAATCTCCATACTGTTCTCTATATATTTCCTATGGTAATGACAAGGAGAATTTGTTTGATGATCAGGAGCTTCTTGAATTAGTGATCATTTCCTATGTTCTCATCACCTTTATATTCAACTCATGGGTGAGACTGTAAGGAGAAATTAGAAGCCAGTCATTTTTATGGGTTACAAGGTTAATGGCAGATGTTTACTCAAGTAAAAACAGTGATCAGAAGATTCTCTGTTTTTTATTGATCAGATCGTCTACTTCTGTTGAAGTTATGTTTTTAAGGTAACTTGATATCAGCCTGATAGTTGGTGATGTTTGCTGTAGATGTTTACTAAGTAAACTGATGCCTGTAAATCAGCATCTAGTTGTCACTATTATTGATACTTGATTTATCTCAATGTTATCTTTCAGAATGTGAGGAACATTACATAAGATGTTATATCGATAAACCTTGTGAGGCTCTTCAGATTTCAGGTAAGCTACTGACATCAATGCTTTTATTTTACAAGTTTTAAGCACAAAAAGTACTGAAATTAGTATAGGTAGGGAGTGGTTCCAGTTAGAAACAAGAAAAATTTATTCTAAGTACTTCTGTTCACAAATGTATACAAATTATGCTGATCCCAAAACTCACCTACTGTTCTAGGTGAGTATAAAACATTTTTTTCCCTCATTTTTATTACTGATGTTGATGTGGTTTGCTTTTTAGAACTGAGGCCTGTTGCTGCCTGCACAACATTGCCATCCACAGCAGGCATTCTGTTCAAGGGTAAGTACTAAATCATTTACTTCTTAACCAGGAAACTGAAGGCTGTGACCACACTTTATCGATCAAATTGTACCAACATTCATGCTTCTTCAGCAAAAGCTGAGTGGATAGAGAATGATTTAAATCGATTCTACAGCCATGCTTGGAGTTCAGCATCTTTCTTGCTCTATTTACTCTGAGAATACTGTTGACATTGCTGATTCGAACAGTATGCAGGATATGCATCACATATGAACATAATAATGGCTTAGCTCATTACAGAGTTCTCCATAGCTTAGCATTTGAACATTGGAATATGGAAGCCAAAGGTCAAGGGTTTGATTCTTCTTGTGGACTCTTTGTTCCATGCTCATGATGAGATGATAAACATCTTTCTACAAGAAATGCTCCTTTTGGTTTGTTCTGATATCACAGCTATGGAAGACCCTCCCCGTCCTCCAATGGATTCGGCAAGAAGCTTGGAAATGTCTGGTTACATGCCATGCAGGGGAGATTTTGATGTGGTAATGAGCTCAATTTTTTCTTTTGGAATGAAATGATAAATTTCAGGTTTGTGCCTTAACAGAGGGGCTGTGCCACAGATGACTATGTTTGTCCTTGGGCAGCCTGTGTAACATGGCTTCCATGTTAGCTCTTAAGAGCTTGGTACATAAGATTACTGCAGCAAAAAGCCTTCAGGGACCTGATAATTCTTAAAAAATTGAATTTAAAATTTAAAAAAATAGCTGGTTGGCCAGAAATATTCTAATATCTATTTCAAGGATTTTAAGAGGTGCAATTTACCTAAATTTTTATTCTTAATTGAAGGACTCCAAACATTGTCTTTCACTTTTACATTCAGGAATATGATAACTACGCTGAAGTTGACATTAAAGATATTGAATTCAGTTCTTCTGATTCCGAACTTCTCAAAGGTTGGACTTAATATGATATTTCATTTTTTATTATGGCCTTTCTTGAAAATTATCGAAGTATGAATCTAAAGTTTGTGTTTGTTTAATTGTAGAACTCAAAATTGCTGCCATTGAAATATTTTTGTCAAGGCTACGGCAAAGATTCTACAGAAAAAGGTAAGTGAAGTTGCACTCTTTCAGAGGTTTACGGTCAAGTCGCCCGAAAGTTATCTCGCCCGGCAAGAGGAAGAACGCCCGAGTCACGCACAGTTCGCGCGGCTGAAAAATGTGATAAAATTATGCCTGTTCTTCTGGCTAAGTGGTATACCTCTTGTTTTCTTTACAGAATTGTGAGAAAATACGGACTCATCAACATCCGGAAATGGCAAAGTATGCGTCATGTGCATCAGTTGCGATGTGATGTTAAGCTAGGTTTAAGGATGTTTATTTTTATGTCATGCTAAAACATTTTATCCTTCGATTTCTTTTTTCTTAGCCCTCGAGCGAAGACAGTCGAAAACAGAAAGGTACCTAAGAATCTTCTATTTTTAAATTGTAGGGAAGCTATACTTGACGTTGTACAATGTGATAAATAAATATGTTCTCTTGGTTCATAAGGTCACTGTTTAATTTACAGGGAGCTTCGTGACAGCCTCAGACCTTTTGCTCGTCTTCATTCACCGGATCAACATGAAATATTTGTCCAAGGATTACTAAGTAAGGGCAAACACTCGACATTTATTAACTTTTAAAAAATTGCAGTATTTTGAGGTACTTGAACAAGTTGGAATCTACCTCAGTGACGTCGAAAGAAAACGTCACAGTGATGGTTTTATTATGTAGGAAAAATAGCATACATTGAAACAGGTTTTTGTAAATAAAGGAAAGATAGTTGAGGGTTGTGCAAGATTAGTGCGGATTCGAAACATCAGAATTGAGGCATCTCCTCAAGGTACAGCTTAATGGAAGTTAAAACGACGTTATTGTCAGTTTCTGAGATAAAGAAAATGTTGCTTTTGCTTTTCCTTTAGTGGAATCTTTCCTGAAGAAAGAAGTTGTCAGTTTACAAGAATACAGATCCGCGGGCATTCGTACAAGAAAGGGTAGGCGACAGCTTTTTAACTCAGGAGATCAATTCCTCCAGAGAGCCATGTTGCAAGCAGTATTAGCCTCAACACTTTACGTGCACATTTTCAACTATCTCTAACATATGGTCGCTGGTAAAATTTAGACCTTTTTGACCTAGATCATTAGGTACTTTATTACGCAGCGCACTCTTTAGTGCTGTGCCTTATTTAACAGCGAGTTATGTTATTCGGCGTTTTATTTCCACTGCGACAGACACGTGACAATGTGAATTTGCGCGTGGCTCACTACGAGTTTAATTATCAGACCTCAATTTCGTTCCCAGGATCCCTTTCTTTCTCCCTTGCGGAAGAAAGAATTGGAGCTTGGGAACCAGGTAGAGAAAGCCTTAGACAAAGCGTTTCATCATAAAACTTGGGTATCCTCGTTGACTTTTTATTTAGGAGCAGAGGTGTATGAGCGACTGAACAGGCGTCGTGAAGAAGACAAATCTCGGAGAAAAATGCTGGATGATATTCTGGCTAATATCCAGGTAAAGCTCCAGAAGTGACTTGAAACTTTCTCCAGAAATGAGGAACCAGTTTAAATTTAAACAGCCGTTTACTTTTCACGCCGCGATCTTGATTTATAAGTTGAAAGGCGTTTGCTGTGCGCAATTTATCATGCAATGTGGCGAAATGAAGGGTCACGTAACGGTACCTCAAATCACGGCATTTTGCCCTACGGCACAGACTGTCACGGTATGTCACGTCACGTCACGGCATGGCACGTTACCCCGCCGCAACTTAAGTCACGGCAAGTTGCCATACGGTACGTTGCCCAGTGGCATGTCATGGCAAGTCACATCACGGCACGTTTCCCTATTGCACGACACATCACCGCACGGCACGTTTCCTCACGGCAATATGTGTCACCACCTGCGGCGTTTGGTAATTCATCCAAAAATTTATTTTATTTTTTAAACTTGTGCTACTGTACACTTGTTGTTAAAGCGTATTTAGCTCTTGTCAGAATTGTTGCGAGAGGAACTTCACACTCCGTGAAGTTCTCGCAGCGTTCGTGAGGTTATGACTTCAAGCGAACTCCTGACAGCATTCATGTCTCTTTTTCTTCTTTAGGACGAAAAAGCCTGTCAAGTGTGGCTTCACAGACAGGCTCAAATGTAAGGTTATGTTCTGTTGTATAGTCTGCTACTCTGCTCACTCCTTTTAAGTCAATCAGTTAGGTCGGTCAATCGGTTCGGTCATTCAGTCAGTCAGTGAGACATTCAGTCAGGTAGCGATCAGGCAGTGGTCATACAGTTGCTCGGTCTCTTGGTCAATGATATTTACCATCGTCGACCGGTCATTTTATCTCTTGGTTTGTTAAAATTCACTCATCAGAAGTGTCTGAAGGACGACACCAGTCCACGCGTTAGTACTGATCATTACTCAGCGTGCATTGCAAGCTTCTATTTCCCCACCCCCTCACCTCCTCTTCCTTTTGACCGTCCCTAACCCTATTGGTACAAATTTCTCCCTCTCCCTAGCCTTCTACTACTGTAAAAATCATAGATGGCAGATATAACTTTCACCAAGAAAATCCGGAGAACTCGCTCGCCAAAGTTGCACCTGCGCTGCAAGCTAATCGTGACTTATCAGCACTTTCAGTTGGAAAGGAAATTTCTCTCTTTATCTTTGCTTACTTTTAACTGGATCTAGTGCCTTAAAGTTAGTTCTTCAAAGTCGCCTTTGAAAGGCTTTGAAAGTAATAATCATGTTGGTTATGTAAATACTGTCTCACTTTGACTTACCTTTGTAACACTTTTCATTGCAGAGATTCGGGGCAAAGCTTAGCGCCCATCCCACTGCCCAGCTTGGGTAGGTGACAGACTCAGAGTTTGCAAAGTTCGACTCGTATTCGCTGGGCTTAATTCATGCTCTATAGAACTCTCAAGATTTTCATACTCTCCTCTCCTTTTCAACTGATTTTCGAGACATTGGTTTCACAGTGTAGTACAAACAATTAGGCATTTCCAAATATTTTTCGCTATTTCTCATGATCTCCACTCAGCTTCCATGAAATTCTAGGAGTAGCCAAAAACTTCTCACTTCCCATGACTTTCCAGCTTTTCCGTAACCTTTATCAACCATGGATTTTTTTGTTTTGTAGAAGAAAAACTTCGAAATAGTCAATTACTGAGGAGCAAATGATATAGAGACAGTCAACCTTAAATTTTAAGACTTGTTTGCTGATTTTTCCAGGTCGTAAGCCTGCAGCTCGATTGGACATCAGTGGAACTCCAGGAGTTGAACAACTCAGACCATTAGAAAGAGAGGTACTTGTAATCACATGACACAAGGGACCAGTCATTAATTTTGTGGTTGTCACGATAAAATTTGCATGACACCCCCCCCCCCCCAAAAAAAAAAAAAAAAAAAAAAAAAAAAAAAAAAAAAAGGAAGAAACCTCCCATATTCTTAAAATCCCCGTACATTAACAGTTAATTGGCAGTCAATTTTAATACTCTTCCAGCGACCATTGATCCACCTCCGGTCCCCCTTAAAACCATATAATCCTCCCAAAATCTTCCACCCCATCAGCGAGAAAAAATGACCGTTTACTAACACGATTACTTTCGACGCTTCATATTCTTTTCTTTTTGCCTCATTCAGTTGTGCAGTAATCTGAGGTTGTTGCCACATGATTACCAGAGTTACAAGTCCAGTCTCATCAAAGAATACGAGAAACAAGGCTCATTACGACTTGCCCAAGCGCGCACTTTAATCCGCATTGACGTCAACAAGACAAGAAAGATGTACAACTTTTTTGTGGAGCAAGGCTGGGTTAAACCGCCTGATAGCTAGATCAGTCTGGAATAAAATGAAAATTTAAACCGACTGTAGTCCACGTTTGGTTGTGCCTCGTTTCATTCCAAATTATGAGTCCTTGACAACGCGAGGCGGCGAGTGGTCTGCAAGGGGTCTGGTACTGATACTTGTTAGTGCCAGATCCCCCGGTTGACCTCTCCCCAACCTTTCTCAAATCCTCCCGCGGGCGGAGGAACGCGCATCCTGTGGCGCTAAATTATGTTATGACCTGCCTGCAGGCTAAATCTATGAAAATTTGACTGTGAATGAGAGTATTGTGTATTTATGAGTCTAGTTCTCAAAGCATGACATGATTCTTGTGATTCCTTAGACTGACCCAAGGCAAGATGACCCCATGCATAAATACAGGATTTTTACGGCGCAGCCGGAAATCTGTCTCGGTATTCTGCTTTTTGTATGTGGTAAAACTTCACTTTTCTCGTGGGTTACTACACGCAAAATTTAAGCGAGGCTCTTTTTCAGCGAACTTAAGGGTTAGTCTACCCTTCATCTCTGATATCTCTTGTACTCCGTTACAGAATTACCCAATTTTTAATCAATTACATTTCGGCTATATTGATCTATATTCCGGAAACCATACGGAGCTAAAAAAAAACCTAAGCACGCTTAGTCCGAATCCAATGAATAATAATAGACTTCTTGGAATTTTCTCGTTGATTGAAGGTTATCGTCGTTTCTAGAATTTGTCGTGCTGTTTATTTTTCTCTATGTTTAAGCAAAGTTTGGACAATAATTAAGGTCATGTGTTCACCTTGAAAGGAAGTGCTTATATGAAATTTTGATGATGTTTCCTTTTCAAGGCAATCTCCCGCGTTCTCCAGAAAACACCTAGGTTTTTTTCTAAAGACTGAAAGCGGTGACTTGCAATGATGCTCAAGATTTCTTATATTCGACAGTAATTAAGTTCACTTGGAATTCTTGAATCCAGCAGATGAGGAAATGTAAGATTTTTCCGCTGAACTTTTGGAATTTTCCCAACTTTTTCAATAATACTTTAGTTTGCAAATATTTCGTTCCCCTCTGTGTTTTTGTTATTTCCAAAAATGTAGATTTCCGCTCATTAGCGCCAGTTTGAACCAGACTTTTGAACATGCTATCATAGTAAAGATGATTATTGCATTTCTTAGAAAAATAAACATCATTTTTGGCGAATTTCGACCAAAAAGCGCGTTATTCTTGGTATGGGTGATTAGAAATTAGATTCTCAGTACGTTCACCATGGTAACGGTGTTTGGTAGTCATGCGTGCTTCGGTTCTTCGCCAAAGTTGGACATCTTTTGTGGTCGACGTTTGGTAGGGAAATAACATCAGGTTTATGCCACGATCTGGTTGGTTTTTACTTCAGCTGGATATTTTTGGTAAATGTAAATCCTCTACAGTGGTCAGAGAACATCTAGAAAAGGAAATGCTTCTTAGTTTGAACGCCATGCGTCTCAATGTGTCTGCACTTTTGGTCTTCAATCTCTAGCTATTGGCTAACCCAAGTGCCTCCAAAGACGTGCTGATTTTAGCGGCGATGCATTCACTTCAAACCATGTCGAAAGCTCCGACTCAACCTGCCAACCTTCCTCCTCTTCAAAATCTTCCTTCTTGGTCTAGAAACTCTTTGGGGAGGAGAAAACAGAGGCGGCCCATCATTCGTGACCGCTTGCAGCCCATAAAATCAATTAGGGAAGAAATGGATGAAATCTCAGAGGACAGATCGAACGAGTTGTCAAATTTCTCAGGAAGGATTGTTTCTGCTCCCTCTCGGGGACACGGACTCGAACAAACCCAGAGGCTGGATAACATAGAAAAAAGACTAGAATATCTTCGCACGCAACACGCCGAAACTCTAACAAATTTACATAATGAAATAGAACGATTAAAGGCTGAAAACAAAGGTGAGGAACGAAAGCAAATCTCGATTCTTAGTTTATAGATCTCATCATATACCTGCCCCATTGAATCGACCGAGAGACGATATCATTCTCAGTAAAAAGGATCACGTTGGAAAATCGTCGAAATGATTTTAAGGCTATTTTATTGCGTTAAAATTGTCCCGAGAACAGCTGATGTTCGGTTTGCCAAAGAAAACATCAGCTTTATTGGCGCGTTCAAAACCAATTTTTTATTCTTGTACTTTGATAGTTGCGTCAAGATTTCATAATGAAACGACATGTACTTATGTGACATTAAATATGAACATCGTTTTATTGTTATTTGTTGCAGAGCTAAATTTTAAACTGGTAATGGCTCGGACGGGAGTAAACCTATCCAAAGGTTTGTTGACTCAAGCTAAATTAAGTTACCACTGTATGTTTTTTTCCATCACTTGTCGTTTAAATATTCATCATTTAATGATGCCAAAAATTTGCAGTTTCTCAAATTTTGCGTTTTATTACGAGGCTGGTCATCTGTTATTGAAATATCGTTAATTTACTCCTTCAAACTCCAAATGAGAGTGAGTTAATCATGAGTTGATGTCTTCTAAACATGCCTTCACTGTTCATTACCTGAAGTAATAAACCTGTAGGGTGCTTTGTCACAGCTTAAGTATTACAGAAACTTAAAGCTGTTAAATAAATAGTACTTAGTGTACATCTAGAAAGGACAAATTTGCATGCCAACGGTATAATCCATTGTTATAATTGTCATATTTAGTTGATTAGTGACGTGCAACTTAAGTTATTTACTTAGCAACACTCAAAATGTTTTCATGTTGAAGAATGATCTTATTGAATTCCAGTGGGCTACCACAATTTGCGGTCACTTTATAGTGATAATGATCTTTAATATTTGTTTATTCTATGATCAGTGAGTCTGCATATGAATGAATGAATGACAGAGACTTTTTTGTCTCTAGATTGTAGGAGGTTTATTGAGGGAGAGGGTTCTCTGAAAAATCTAGAACAAATAAAGACATAACAAAGATTTAAAGTTAGAAATTTCACCTTGTGATGAATAGATTAATCCAGTACTGTTTACTTGAAAAGATCTGATAGTGACTGTTACTTTGGTGTAGGGGATTAAAATGCAGTGTCTTTATTATACCCTTGTGAATTAAACTTTTAGATAAGCATGAAAATTCAACCAGTATCTAATATTATCATCAACTGCACGTATTAGAGTACAGATAACATGTAAATAGAGCACAAATATCCTGCAATATTGTACAGTTGGTTATTTTGTAATTTTAAAAAACCTGTTTTAGTGGTCAGCTTTGCGCACTAATTGCTTCCCTATCTGCTTCGCTTTTCCTGCCTCATGAGAAATGAGCAAACAATAAAGTTTGCATTTTGACTTGCTCTACTGGCTCATCAAAATACAGCAGAGCTCGTGAAAAATACCCAGTGATACTACATGCTAAAATGTCTGATAGGATATATTGATATACAAAGGATTGATTCTTTGCCCTATTGAGATAATCATCACTGACAGAATGGTTTTGGTTGAAGGATGAAGCAAAACCAAAAGTGTTATGTTTATTGAAGTGAAACATTAAATCTGAAATACATTGTTAAACAAACTGTGCATAAAATTTATGTATAAAACTAAAATTGAGAACAACCCCATCATTCTTTCCATTGTTACAATTTATGACCCACTGATCATAGGGTAACGGTTTCCATCGCCCTTTATATCCTTTAGTCCTTTATGCTAAACACTGGATAGCGATTTTGGATCATTGTTTTAGTGTGATTGAGGGATAAACGCAGAAGTTACACCAACCTCACAAAGTGGTAAAACAAAATAAATGATCTTAAAGAGTCAAAATCTATGTAAACTGTCTAATGTTATTTCTCTCTTATTTTTATCATCAGAAGATGAGACATCTCCTAGCTCTGTGGAAAGTGATACATTACAGTCTGCAGACTTAGGTAGGTTTTCACATTTTCATTGTATTGTTTTGTTTACTCCCTATCCAACTTTTTGTGCAATTTTGATGGAATAGGAAATGATATGCTGTTGGTTATTTCTTTATATCTTAACTAATTAACTCTCAAGATCTAGATGTTAATTCTCATCTCTAGCTACTACACATTTCCCTGTAAATTGGCTATGAGAATTTGATGCTAGATCGTAAGAATGACTTGAACTTGATAAGTTTGAGTATTCTCATCACCAGTTTGCTGGATAATGTGTGAATATTACAGGGGGAAATTACATGTTAATCACTTCTGAGAGTTGAAGGGTTAATTATTATTTTTGGTGTTTTACTAAAGGAAAGAGTGTGGTTTTAAATTATCACTGTTAGTTTCCGTGGGACAATAAATTTTCACTTTTAATCCTTTATACTGTAATATTAACATCTATATTCTCCATACTGTTCTCTATACATTTCCTTTGGTACTGAAAAGGAGAATTTGTTCCTTGAGTTTATATTAATTTCTTCTATTCTCATGATCTAAATGAATGATTCAGCAGTATTACTTAAAGGAGAAACTAGATGCTGGTCATTCCAAGGGTTTTCAAGGATTGAAATAACAATAGTGTCTTTACATTCCTTAATAGTGATTTAATTGATTTTACAGCTGAAGGTGATCAACTTGAGGGAGTTCACAATGTTGAAGAGAAGAAAAATGATAAAAATCTGCCTTCTCAGCAGGCACAGACAGTTAAAGAATCTTCCAACACAAATACAACTCAAGAAGTGTCAAACTCAAGTGCAAAAAGGAATAAAAGGTTTCTGTAAAGTATTCTTGATTTTATATAGATTGATATTATTACAAACAGTGTGTACCTGAAATTATTACAATTTGATGTTAATTACCTGTATGGTGGAAAACTTTCACTAAGTACTTCTGGGTGAACTTGAAAGTAAGCTACACTTACTGACGGTTAATCTGTATCCAGCTTATAAATATATGTGGGGTGGGGCAGGTATTCCCAATTATTTAACTCCCTGTAGTGATTAACAGGTAACTTATCCATATGTTATCCAGCAAACAGATGATGAAAATACTCAAACTTATCAAGAAGAAGTTGTGGTCTTGATCTAACCCCAAATTCTGATAAATAATTTACAAGAAAATGTATATCAGCTAGAAGGGAGGATCAAAAATCAGATCTTGGGAGTTAAAGGGTTAATTGAAGCAGGGGCTGTGAATGGGTTCAAATTGTTGAAGTGAAAATGGAAGCAGTTTTATACAGACACAACTGAGGAGAATGTAACACATATGCAGTGAAGTAAGACACTAAACCAGACTAGGCTTCAGCATATTTATTTTGTCAAGTCTAGGCTGGTTAGTTTTCTCACTTCACACTTCAATCCACTAGACATGATACTGTTAACAAGCTGTTGTTAAGAAGAATGTATAAAGCATATTATAACTGTGTACTTAATTGTTTCAAACAGTCATAGTATAGATAGTTTAGTTAGATGTAATAAGCATCTGGGATGATGTGGCCAAACTGCCAGCATGGTGGATTCTGGGTTGAGAAGTCTGGGTGCAAGACACTTTACTTTCATAGTGCCTATCTCCATTTAGGAGTATAAATGGGTATCAACTAACTGTCAGGGAAGCCTGGGGAGAGGGGGGTATCCTATGATGGACCAACATCCCACTCAAGGGGTGTGATAATACCCCTTATTGCCTTATGCTACAGAAACCCAGAGAAGCTCCAGTTGAATGGGCCACTTGGCTCCAGTGCGGACCTTTTTACTTACTTTAGTAAGAGTTATCTTCAAAACATTCCCTTTTGTAAATTCCATGCTTAAATTAGGTAAAGGCATTTTTATGCAGTGCCATGATTGTATAACATAAGCTAATGACACTGTTTTAACACAAGTTTTTTTGGTGTAAATCATAATTACATGTGCAACTGCTATAGGTAGTTCTACATGACATAAGACATGCCATATTATTCATATTTGAAAATCCTTAAAATTGTCAGAGCCAAACATTTACTGTAACATAAGAACTGTAGAAAAGTATACCATTGAACAACCTTTTAAAAGCGTTTAAAATATATGATACATGTGATTGAAGATGTGATTAATGATATGCTCCTTTGATTTACATTGAAGAGACTACAACATCTCTAGAAATGTTAAAACATGTATTTGACATGAAGTTCAAATTTTCCTTTAAATTTTAATTGTCCTCTTTGCTCTTGTTCTTTTAAAGTTTTAGACATGGATCTGGAAAAATGCCTCTTGCAGTCAAATCAACACCCTCCCCTCCTGTGTCAGCTAAAGGCCCAGTCATCAAACCTAAGAGTTCTGGAAAAAAGAAAACAAAATTGTACAACCGACAAGAAAAACAGACAAATTTAAGTTCAAATTCCCCTCAAGCTCTCAAGTTATCCTCTACTTCACCTGCACCAGTAAAGCAGGGGATTCCCTTAGGGCAATCAGTTCTGGTTGTCACAATAAAGGATAAGCATGTGAAAGTTCACATGCCGTCAGACAGTGCCCCACGGTCACCAACCTTAGTGGAGTGTAAAGCTATCATTAAACATCAACAAGAAACAAACAAAAGGCAAGAACAGGAGGTATGTTTTTATCAGTGATTGATTAAATACCAACTTCTCCTTATGGTAACAACATATTTTAAAGTAATGAAGTGGTAAGAATACAGATTATCATCCATTAGGAATACTATTTTTGATAAAACTTCAAATTCTCAGAATATCCATACTAAGAGTGTGTTGGGCAGTCAGAAAGGAGAGTTACCAGGTCGATCTTAAGAATGAAAGGGTTGATGACAGTGAAAAGAATCATCCTTGAATGGTGTTATCATTACTTTTGTTGTTTCCTGGAAGACCAAGTTTTCTTAAGAGACATTTTAAAGAGACATTTCAAACAATAATATTAGTCAGATGCAAAGAGGGTGTAGTTGTCAAATAGATAAATTGCTTTCTTTTTCAATGCAATGTAGTCTTTCTTTATGATATTTAAAGGTAGTCTTAGGAGAGATCCAAGCATGCTGATTCATTCTTATTTGGTCTGTGCTTTGCAGAAATGGTTATACACTGTGTATTTTTGTCAACAAAAGCCAGCAAATTCAAAATAAACAAGTTCGATGCCAGTGCCATTAAGAAAACTACTTACTAACCCAAGAATATTCCCCAGTACAGCCTTAATGCTCAGTTAATAAGAAGTTATTCTCTTTGATAAAGTATTTTTTTAACTTTTTTAGCTTTCGAAACTAAAGTCAGACTTGAATGATGCCCTTTACTCTGACAAGTGGTCACCAGATACATATCTTGTAACCAAGTCCTATGTTACAGATGATGCACCAACCAATACAAGGTATGCAGCAATTAAGTATTGCCCTTAACAGTACAATGCATTTCAAAAACTAACCAAAGAAAATGGTATTAATGACTTAAAAAAATTTCTCTGCAGACAAAACACTCCTGCTTCTAGATCTTTACCACGGTTGCATTCTAGAGATCAGATGCGTTCAGGAAGGTAAGGATTTGAGTGTTGCAAAATTTGACAGAATCAATTATTACTTCTCTCTATTTTCAGACTGGTACTTTTAAGCAAGAGAAAATATATCTTTAAGTTAATTTTTTCCCCTTTTTTTAGGAGGGTCCTCATATTTTTTTTACTTATCATACACTGTAGCTGAAAATATCAAATTTACTTTTATTATTTTGTTGAGATTGTTGTACTATTGATTTGTTGTCAGCTTTCAGAGGAGTCATTAGTCCTTGTGCTGATATGGTAGCCGGAAATTTCTCATAAAAGACTTTTTGCACAAGTCTTTTTGCACAAGTTTTGGACTGTTCACACAATTCTTAGTAGTCATTTTGCACAATAATTATAAGTGCATAAATAAATTATTGTGCTCATGAGCATTTCAATCTAGTTGAAGTTATTATGTAAATAAATACCACGTCCTATGTTCTCGCCATTGGATCTTATTGAAAGCGACATGTGAAGGTGAAATATCTTATCAGTATCAATTAAAATACCTATTATATTGATGTTTCTAACTTATAATTATTGTATGAAATGACTATTAAGAATTGTGTGAATGGTCCAAAACTTGTTTGAAAAGACTTGTGAGGAAAGTCTTTTGTGTGAAATGCCCTGTATTTGCTGATATAGTTTGCAAGATAGGATAGACTATTTCCTGGTCAGCAGGTTGTAAATGAATTCCATGTCTTTTCTATTTCAAAGGTTGACAGCTGGGCGAATGCATGTTGTTCAAGACAGTGTATCTCTTCCAGTTCTTCGCCCCAATGGTGCAGCAAATGTTGCTGATAGGAAACGTCGACAGCAGGCATTAGTTAGAGGAAGAGGCAAAAAGGACCTCTATTAAATTATGTCAAAATTATTGATCAGCAATCAAATAAATATTCTTCCCTTAAAAGATGATACATTTTTTATGGTAGAGCTAGAATATTTCCCCAATTAGTCAATAGTCACTCTTTTGCCCATTGTGCACTTGTAAATATCTTTTTTTCCTCACAATGATAGATTTTCAATCCTTTACATTTTTCTTCTTGGTCTATACTACTGCAGTAGTACCATTAAATACAGTACATGGGGTGAAGAATTATTTAATAAAGTTATTTAAATTGAAATGAGTTGTTATTTTCCTCTGTTCTGTGTATGAATTTTTTTTTGCTTCTAAACAAATTCTTTTACAGGAAACTGTTCAATGAAATTTTGTATCTACAATACATTGAGGGTGTGCTGAAATAAGAGTTTTTCACACCTTCAGTTAAGTCTGACTTGTTTTTGCTTTTATTGGTATGGAGAGCTTTTTGCACAAAGCTGTTACTTGTACAAATACTTACCTACCAAATAAGTTAGTGAACTATTTGCAATTTTGGAAATTTTATGGTATAGAAGTGATAACTGCATCAATATATTAAGGTGTCATAGGGGGCACTTACCACTAATGTGAAAGGGGAGGCATCAATGATTGTATGTTTGATTCCCTGTGGTTGACTCCTTTGCCTACAGAACAGGTGTCGTTTTACTTTTGCATTTCAGACAAGCAGTGGCTAGTTCAAGTTTAGTCTGAAGAGAGTGTGAAGGGGGAGTCATGTGGGAAGAGTAGTGTGGACAAGATGATGTCATGATTTGGGGGTCTTCTGCTTACTCATTTTCCTTCCCCTTGTGCTTTCCTTGCACTTGCCTCCACTTGCTTCAAAAATGTAAAATTCCATGCCTTTTCTCTAGGCTACAACTCTTGGTTTTGCAAATTTTATTCACCTTCCTTTTTGACAAACCACTTTCCCTTTTTGATATTTGTCCATATTTTCATTACCAGACTCCTTGACAATGCATGAATATATTGTGGTTCAATTTTATCCTTGATTCAAATTTTTATTTCCTTTGTTTCAAATTCATTATCATACATTACAATACCCAAAAACGAAAAAAACCCCAAAAAATTTGAACCAAGGATAAAATTGAACCACAATAGATATTTCAGTGAAAAATTGCTTAGTGGCCACTATTGTGATTGGAAGGGTAGAGGCTAAACATGTGTCAGCAAGGGAGAGACCTTTATCCCCCAACATACCTCCCATTGTCAGACCTTTAAGGCAAAGTTCTACCTGTGAGTTAACCTCCATGAGTGACCAAGACAGAATTTCCACTTATAATGTCAATGCAACACTAAGTGGAGATGGGATGAGAATGAAGAAAAATCTATATTAAGGAGCTATTATTTGATCTAATATTAAATGCTCCGAACTAACGACGTAAGAATTTTAAGGCAAACACCAAGGAGAATCACGAATTAATCAAATTTTAGGGGTGGAAGGGTAAAATGCTTTGCCATAAAAGCAAGGAAGAGGATTTATGATCGCCCAACCAGGAAATGTAGACAAAAGGCCTCCATCTATGCTTTCTTTTTTTTCGTTCTCTTGGTTTTCTTTTTCTTGTGGTTGTTTTGCTTTGAAATTTTTCTTCCATAGTGTGTACGCCCCTACGCTTTGTTAGTGACTGAGAGAGTCTGGAACAGAGAGCCTCGCTCACACGATTGTTTGAAAAACAAAATGGCGGTTTACTTGAAAATTCGATAATCTTGCATTTTACCTTTCCTCATTTCTTTATATAAAATTATTGCTTCCGAAAAGACTCTGAGTTTTGATGAAGAGGGATTACAATGATTTAGAGGTGAGTTAAATTGCGTAAAATGTATTTACTCAAAGGAACAACTTGAGGTTAGGACTCGTAAGTTCGGTCCCTCAATAAACTCTATCGCGTTAATATCTAAAATATTTAAGCTCAAGTGTGATCATAAGCTTCCTCCTGTCCATCTCGTTCAGTCTGAATCATAGAAACTAGGAAATCGCCCATTAGTCCATAACGTGCGAGGAAGTAATTTTTTTCTCTGATAAATGTGATCACGTGTGGTCGTGATCGTTGTAGCATGATCGAAGTTCTGATCTGTTCCTTCGCTCACGAGTCCAAAATATTTTCGCAGATCGAAAACCTCTCAACGTAGGGTTGGAAATAAAGTCAGAGTGCACTGTAGAAATCGAATTATTCTGATGGATTTATTATTGTTGCTACCTTTGGTTGTACTTTCCGTAAATTGTTCTGTTTGATATGCAATCTAGTCAACAAGATGCATTTAATTTATTATCAGACTGCAGCATGATGGCTCCTAAGAGTGATAAGCATCCAATTTCTCCTGATAGCATCATCCCTTAATCAAATATTATGGTCATGAGAATAAAGGGAATGATGGCAACCTCAAGCGCTTGATTGTCAGACAAATTCTCCTTGTAAGTAACATAAGAAATGTATATAAAACAGTATGGAGAACTTGCATACTGATGTTAGGGTGTAAAAGGTTAAACAGCCTTATACCTGTGTTTTTCTTGATCAAGGGTTCTAAATCATTTCCATTTCTTGCAGGATGTCAGCTGATGTTCTGCGGAAACCATCCCAAGTGGGTTTTAATTTTCCGAGCTTGAATCAGCCAGTCTCTGTTCCTCAGCGGGTGATGGCTGCACCAAATAGTGGATCAGCTACTCATAAAATGAATCAACTTCAATTTAATCTTGGAGTGCCAACAACTGCTGATCAGTTTACAACAAGGTTTAGAAAACCCCAACCTATTGTTATAGAAAAATTAGGTGACCAGAATCAAACACCACAGTTGTTACCTCAAAGGCGTGTAACTACCCCTGTTGTTTATCCTGTTGTGCCATCAGTGTCATCCTCTATCACAAGTGACCGACTTGCACTAGCAGTTCATTTGGCCAAGAAAGATGTTAGAAAGGTGAAAGAAATTGGAACGGAGAATGTTTTGGTTTCACAAGAAGAAGAAACAAAGAGAAGGCATTTTGCAGTCACAGGCAAAAATATGGGCGTTGGGAAAAAGAATAGGGTAAAAAGTATGAAATCTAAATCACAAGCGGCAATATTAGAAGATAAACCTACTTTGCGTGAAAGGGTTCATAGTGCTGTAAAGAATCATAAAGAGACAGAAGCGAGGAAGCAGTGTAAAATGTACTTTTATCCAGCTACAAGGGAAGATGATGAATTTGAGTCAGATGGGGAAAGGACACAAGCTAATGAAATTAGAAAACTCCGCAAAGAGCTCCATCAATATATGAAACAAATGGAAAGTTTGAAAGATGAGAGACCAGAAATGTTGAAGAACAAAGACAAAAGGTTAAAGAAAAGAAAAGAGGGTGAAGGAAGGCTTGCAGATGAAGAGGTAGATGAACGCCAAGTGGTGAGGGCTGAAGAACAAGCTGCCAGATCAGCAAGGATGCTTTATGTACTTCAGAGACAGGTAACATACTGGTACATCGTTAATTAGAGGAAGATTTGATAGGGAGTGAGTATTTCAAAGAGGTCAGTTGTCTTCTAAACAGTTGTGTTCTTGAAAGTCACAATCTTCCTTACCAAAACTATCTCCTGTCCCAAGAATCACATTCAATTTGTTATTCAGCCTCTAAGGCCATCCCCATTGAATGAAAAAATTTTCCCTTAGTCCAACTGACACATTTTTTGTGGAAAAAAAAATAACCCTATCTGAGAGGGAAACTTTTAGTCTGGGTGATTACAGAAAAAGTAATCCTGGAATAGACTTGGAATGGAGAAAGATTCCTATAGGAAGTTAAAAGTTATAGATTTGCTCTAGTCACTCAGGATTAGAAACTCTTGAAGACAATTGATCACAGGAGTAGGTACCTGATCCAAATCCTTCCACCCCTTGACCATGGTGCTGGCCGGATGGTTGGTAGGTTGAAATGCAGTTCAAAAGGTCTGGGTTTGTGCCCAGAGGCTGAGTCATTGTGTTATGTTCTTAAGGAAAACTCACCATGCCTCTCTCCAACCAGATGTAAAAATGGATATATGTGAACTGTCAGGAAAACCTGAAAAAATTTAGGGGTGTGGAACCATGTGGTGTAAGGGATGGGGTTATCTGCAATGGACAAACATCCATCTACAAATGTACCAAGAGTAAAGTCACTTTCATTACCTTTTTACTTTAACCCATTAACCCCCATGAGTGACCAAAACAGAATTTCTCCTTATAATATCAAAATAATTTAGAAAAATATCAATTTGGGGATAATTAGTTGATACTATTCTAAATTCTAATAACTAACTTTATAAGAATTGTATGGTTGATTATAACAAGAATTAGAAATTTGATCTGGGAGTTAAAGGGTTAAAAACCTGGATTAACCTCTTACTACAGACATTGCCGATATTTTCCCTAAAGTATTTGTATAATGCCCAGACTGAGATCATGCAAGAATAACGACATTAAATGATATCTAACTTGAAAATACTTTTTTTTTTCCTTCTAGGTGCGTGAGATTGAGGACGAGTTAAACAAAAAGAAAAGAGGGATAAAACATACAAAAAAGGTGAGAGTTTTAAAGGAATTTGACTCTCCTTAGTCACCAGCAACAGGTTGATTTGCAACTGGACACTTGGAATTAATATTATTTTATTTAATTCTCAACTATTCATGCTAAAAGTTTCATCTTTTTAAATTTAATTCCACATTATTTATGGTACATTATTGGCATTAGCACAAGATAAGTTGTTTGCAATTTTGAGGAACATTTAGACGAAGTCTTCCCACTCTAGCAAGCACTAACTACATGTACTTAGATTTAGTTAGGTTTATTGTCAGTATCATTTGGTTTAATTTTTTTTCTACAATCTTGTATTGGATCTCAGAGCCAGACCCTAAGCCGCTTGGCAGCAGCTCACAGGGGAGCAGTTAGAGCATTGCAGACATTTGTCAGCCAGGCTCCTCTCCAGCCTAAAGTTGGCCATAGCTCGCCACCAATGTACCAGGAACTGTCTGCCCTCATTAGACAGTTGTCACTTTTGGCAGCACAGTTGCACATCAGTGGGGAAGATTTCTCTGATGAAGTGAAGAGAGAAAAAGTTCAAGATGAAAAGGTACAATACGGCTCAAAAGTAAGTAGACAGTCTCTACTGGAAACATCCTTGAAACTATTGAGAATCAAGGATCAAAGCTTAAACTATTATCAGTGACAGTTTTTTATATGCAATATGGTCAAACCTGTGTAGCTCTCAGCTTGATTTCAATGAAGTAAAAAATAGATCAATTTTTAGTGTCATGCCACATTCATAATGAAGTATTACCCATCAAGGCTGTGCTCTAACGGCGCCCGGTCGCCTGAGGCGACTAACATTTGGCCTCGGGCGACTGAAAATATTTTCTTGGTCGCCCGACCGGGCGACTGGCTGGTGTTGGTTTCTTGATTTACAGTAAAAAAAAAAAAAAAAGAAAATGTTGTTCAATCGGGCGCGCGTTGATATTCAAAGGTCGTTTCACGTGAATTTACGTGTAACATAATCATCGACTTTGATCGTGACAAGCTGCACAGTTTTCGATTTTAACCGCTTTTCCAAATAGTATTATAATTTTTCCTTTAAATTAGGATGGCTCGTTAGTTAGTTTTTGAAAAGCAATTGTTACTTCTGCTCTGACAGGCGTAAAGTACGGTCGACGATTAATAAACCGCTGAATGAACACGGGAGTCGTTCTCTTAAAAGAAAATGTTGTTCCATCGGGCGCGCGTTGATGTTCAAAGGTCGTTCCACGTGAATTCACATGTAGCATAATCCTTGACTTTGAACTTGACTAGCTGCACAGTTTTCGATTTTAACGGCTTTTCCAATAGCATTAAAATTTTTCCTTTAAATTGGGATGGCTCATCAGCTAGTTTTTCAAAAGAAGTTGTTACTTCTGCTCTGATAGGCGTAAAGTACGGTTGGCGATTAATAAATCGCTGAATAAACACGGGAGTCGCTCTTCTATGCTAATTTAATATTTTAAATAGTGTTTTGCTAAGCTTACATAATGATTTGAATTGAACTTCAATGAGACAGTTTTAGGTTTATCAGATTATCTTTGGTATATGTATACTATTCATTTTTCAAAAAATAGTTTTGCACTGCTTCTGTAAGTGTGAATTAAATAATTATTTGACTATAAGTGATGATAGGTTTTCAGGAGGTCAAAGGATACGATGTTTCATGAACATAAAAACAATAAATAAATGCACATAGTTCTATTTGACTCGTTACGAAAACAGTTTGTTTAATTTTTAATAATTAACTGACTGATTTATTAATTTGGGTGACCAATTAGGAGGCCCGGGCACCTCAGCTAAAATGTTTGGGTGCCCGAAGGGCTCCCCGAAATTTTGATTTGGGCGACCATCTTTTAGGCCTGGGCACCCAAGCTAAAACACTTGGGAGCCCGAAGGGCTCCCTGAAATTTTCCTTAGAGCACAGCCTTGCCCATGGATAAGCTGTACCCTTGATTTTTGGCTTCAATTTTGTGAAAAAAAGTGCAGCTTATACATGGACATTTATGGTATTTATTTGATATTTTTTCAGTATCTTAAACAGCTATTTCACTTTTTATTGATCAGGATGAGCCTGACGAAGAAGAGGCTGCATTAAGAGTAACTGGCAAAACTCCAGAAAAAGCAAGTGCATTTATCCAGGAAGTAGCTGACAGAAAGCCTAAGGGGACAACCATACCAAGATCTCCTCTGAAACAAGGTTTGAATACAGTAATAAGCATCCTTGGAGCAATCTATTTTGATTAATTCATTCAACAGATTTTTGCCATTATCATTTATGACCAGTGTTTAGGCCAGGACTTAAATGGAATGTGTGGGTCCTGTTTGTCGTCAAACCTAATAGGAACATTGTTTATTTTTGCACTGTGGTTTTTCTTTGTAAGTTGTGACAAGTTCTCCTGACCCTACCCCTGAAAGAGATGCTGTTCTGCAGGCTGGGCTTTCTGCACTCCTTAGAGTCAAGGACACTCCAGTTCAGACACCTGTGGTATGTTCATTCTATTTTCTTTAAAAATAATCTTCTCATTGTATATCACATAGTATCTTAAAATAATGGTAATATTATGATAATAATAATTTGATCAATGTTCATTATTTTGCAATTTTCTTGCACAAATATGACAAGATTTTGTTTTTATGGCATTTTATATTAAGACAGTATGCAGAACTTAGAAAGTTTGAGAATGAAAAAACCTTTTTTTTAAGGTAAAACCAAAGTTCCAAATGAGACCTGCCATTCAAGTGGAAAAACCAGTCAAACAGGCTTCGAAGAAATCACTGTTATTACCTGCTAAGCTAAAGGTTTGTGACTATACTCAAATCAAGTTCTTCTTTGACCCACAGCAGTTGTTGAGGGGGGGGGAGGGGGGAGGGGGAGGGGGAGGAGTCAGGGGAAGTTAAAATGGGTGTGAAGCACATCTGTTATGATTTGGATCTTTCTTTGTGCATACTTAATCTTCTTTTTTTTCATGTTGCTGATGCTGTGGGGTCAAAATACAAACATACAATTGCTAGATTCACCTTACTGTCACCAAATAATTGAATTAACATCTAATTTTTTTATGGATACTGGCCCTTAGCTTCGGCGTCAGAGAGCTTTTCAGACAGCCAAGAGAGTGAAACTGCTTCAAGATGTAGACCAAGCTCACTTTGCCAAAGAAACTGTTGCCTCCATACTGAAAAAGGCTCCTCCAGTAGTGGGGCATCAGCCAGTGGCCCAATCTAGGACACCACCCAGAACACCTACAAGAGAAGGCCCTCATACTCCTGAGAGAGTGCATTTTCAAGGTCCACACAGTCTGTCCCCTAGATCACACAGAAGACAATGTGAAACTCAGGTTTGTCGTCAATGCACAGATACATGCTTTAATCTACTTATAAGGGCAAAATAGAAAGGAGAGAAGTGAGGTTAAGAGAAATGCTTTCTTACTATGGTAGAAATTTCTCAAAAATGGATAGGGATGTTTGCTTGGTTTCCTTATTTAGACGTGTGCCAGAGTAAGTTGAATTGGAATCTTTACAGATATCATGAAGCACTGTGTTATACAATATTTTTTAAAATTTCTCCCAATTGTTTTCAGTGCACTCGTCGTTTTGATAACCCAGTCTAGGTGTAACTCATTTAGTAATAGTAAACAAATTTATGGGACAAAATAAGGAATTTCAACTGTTCCTTTTCCTTACAGTTAATGGTTGGTTTTCTTCATATCTTTTGAGTAGCTACAAAGTCCAACAAGTCCGAAGTATTTCCGTAGACATCTTCCAACTGACCAGGAGCTGATAGAAAGAGAGGTGGCCAGGTGAGTGAATCCCAATAGGATTTAATGGCCGATAGGACGCTCAGTGGCTCTTTTTGAATGAAAGATCATGGCAGCAAAGGCCTGCTTCACACATAGTGGGGTGCAATAGTAGCACAGAGCGAAAAAGGCGGAGGATTAGGATGAGTCGTTAATTCGCCATATTTTTTCAGACCATTTTGCTCATGGACTTCAATGTTGACAGCAGCTGTCAAACTGGACCTATCAGAGGGGATGAAAAAACTACAGGCTCTCTTTACGCGACCCGACTTAAACTTCCTCCTTCTTTTCTCATTTCGTTGCTATTTCGGCTCCTTTACTGAACGCCCTTTTTCCTGACGTGTCACCACTTCAAACGAGACCAAGGAAGATAGCTTTTTAATTTTGTCGCCATGTATGTATGTGCACACATTGTCATGTCATTATCTTGAGCCTTGACTTTCATTATTTTGCGTAAGTGTGATATTTCTGTGTCTCAAGTGTGACCAGGATGACTGGCTTTGAGTACCAACTTCACAGAAAGCAAGTGTTTAATCTGTTTTCCTAAAAGTCTGGTAATACACGTTATTAAATTTGACCATATTTAATCAAATTCTTCCTGTAACTGTAAATAATGTTCATTCTTAGGCAAAGATGGCTTGACGAAGAGGCAGAACGAAGGGTAAAATTCAATTTTACGCTAAAACTATAATAATTTTCATAACAGATGATTTGCAGATTACACCATGGTATTTTGTTATAGCAGCCTCAAAACGTTCAGTGCTTTCCTGTTTGTTTTTTTTAGCTCCTTTTCAGACCATTATTATTACATTTTTTTTAATGGTTTCTTCTTGATGAATTAGATTCGTGATTTGGAACGAGAACGAAGACTTGAACTGATGCAGCGACATCGAAGAAGGTAGGATTTTATAGGTAGAAGATTTATCCGAACAACTCTACCTTATTGACCTTCCAAGAACCCTATGTGATAGAACCCACTGCGGGAGTCATTGCCCCCTTCCGGTATCATACCTCCCCATCCCGGATGTCCCCCCCCCCCAATATCCCGGGAATCGTAAGTTCCCTTCATAACTCTCTTTTCAAACTCAACGTTTCATTTGTTTTAGTCACCCTTTGATCGGTTCTGAGTTTGCAATTTTTTCCAATATTCCAGTCCAGACGTTTCACTGCCAAAGCGATTGATATGTGAGACAGAAGACGCCATTAGATCTCGACTGAAACCGCTCTTGGATCGAGCAGAGGTATTTAAAAAAGTTTAATTTTATCTTCTAATTTTGATGTTTCACGGGAGGTGTATGGTTATTTACGTAGTCCAAAGTAGTAAAGATGTAGATAGACTACAAGCAGACCCTTCTTTTTGGCGATGTTCGTCGCGCGAGTTAAAAATATTTAGCGAAAGAAAGAAATGTGAGCGCGCCGCGCAGGACTCTGGGAGTGTGGCGCACGAAAAGTACTCCCAGAGTTTCGCGCGCGTGCTGACATCTATTTTTTTTTTGCTGAGTTTTTTCAGTTGACTCGCGCAACGAACGTCATCGAAAAGGAGGGACTGCTCGTCAAGAAAATGTAAAATTGGTCCGTCTCTAGTGAGTAATAAAGAAACACCGTCAGTCATGTGCACAATATCAGAATGAGTTGTCTAGTGACTTGGAATTTCTAGTACATACTAGTTGGAAAAGGTAGCGTATAAAGTAGTTACTATTACAATTCACAGCACTGAGCAGAAAACAAACTTGGTATTTATTATAAATTTGTTTGTTCCTACGTGCAGGCGATAGCGGAAACACAGGCGATAAGAAAAGAAGAGCAAAAGAAATCATTACAGCATCAGCTTGGGAAACTTGCCTCTCAGACAGTGAGTGTACAAATACAACCTAAGGTCACAGTCGCTTGAAGGTTGGATAGTTAATTCGGTGGGAGAAGTGTCATCTGTCCTTTCAACAAACACGACAAAGTGATCTCTTTTGTACTCTGGGAGATTAGAGGAGAGTTATGACGATGTTAATGGATCCTGTGCTCTAGCGCTTCAGCATTGAACGACTGACAACTTGATGGGGAACGAGGCCATATTTTAAGTTCACATGTGACAAACATCCTGCAGAATGGCCTTTTTTAAAATGCTGCTGATTATCTCGAACTTCTTTTCTTTATTTTAAGGTTTTTACTTATTTTTGCCATAGTATCGTGCTTTTGCTTTCTCGGCAGACAATGAACCAAGCGGACATTTTGGCCGAAAAAGTTCTCGATGATATTTTAGAAGATACAGTTCTTGAAATGCAAAGGCGAGTGTCTGGATCGTTTCTAACTTTCTTATCTCTGAGGTCTCTTGCGTTGTAAAGGTGCATTTAATTTTTTTTTTATTCATTCCTGTACAGATTAGAGATCGAAGACGACGTTGAAATGCAAGCTGATGATTTGCAAAACAGTTCATCCTTAGATAATATTCTTCAGAGACTGCAGAGTTTCGAGGTACGTGAAAAACCGGTGGGTGCGAAATAATCTTCTCCATAAGAAGTCCTGCTTAGAATATTCTTTCCAATGTTCTGTTCTAGTTGAAATGGAGTATAACATTTTAATATCATTAACAACACTGCCTTTCGTCGCAGAAAGCCGAGGAGGAGATAAGACAACATTGGGTTCAAGTGAATTATGCAGATGTTGAAAATTCCACAGAAAAACACTACACTGGTATGTATGCAATCCTTTAGTATGGTTGCAAAAAGCCAACGTAATCACAACACTCAAGCAGAGCAAAGGAAATCATCTCAGGAAGCAATGAGAATTCAAGGTAGATTCAAGCAAACTGGCTGAGGCGCAGAGAAATGCAAGTGACCAAGTCGTGATTGATTGTAGTTCTTAATCTGAAAGTGGTGCGAATTTTCTGGACCAATACAGAGCAAAGTTGAGCAAAACTAAAGCAATGGCAGATTACTGTCGATGCCCAATTGAAAATTGCTCTAAACCTTACATATGTTTACATCACTTTCTTGTTTCCCCTTTATCAACAGAGAAAAGAACTCGACCAGCTAAGGATCCGAAACCGATCATGTTTACAAGGCCCGTGGAAACCGAAAGCCACCGACTGTTACCGGAAAACACCCGAGCACCTCCCGACGACGATAGACGAGGTGTCAGAAAGCCATTCAAACTGTTGAATGAAATTAGTGCTGCCAGTAGCTTTTCCTCCCTAATGGAAGGTTGGACATAGTCTCTCACTGAAGTTTTATAATTAAGGTTAATAAAATGTCAGTAGAAATGCATAGGTCCTTTTTATTTTCAGCATCGACAGAGCGCTCCTCTGCTCAAAGCTCCATTTACAGAAGTCCTCAAAATAGCTCAGCCCCACAAAGTTGGCCCCTCACTTCTGGCACACGACCTACAGTGTTCCTTAGTGTGCCTGAGGAGATGAAAGCCAGTATAGTGTCCTATAGGAATCGATTCAACAAATATCTTCAGGACACTTCTACTCACGAGGAAGGAACATTTGACCCGTGGGGACTGGTGAACAGGTGTGTTTATGTAACAGTTTGTCAATTCTTCGAGCAGTTTGATTGGTTCTTACCGGTGGTCTATTGGTCACCAGATGTATAGTTCATGTAATCAGCAATATTGTTGTGTCGCTATTTGATAGTGAAATTAACGCAGTATGAAAAGCATCATTTGTTGTAAGTTAACATAAAATAATCTGCTTCGAGAGGAAAAGTTAGCCGAAGCTAAATACGCTTAGAAACACAGCTCCGAAAACGAAGCAGTAAATCGTCATTTTGGGACATCATTTTGTAGACATCGTTTTGAGCATTACAGTCGAACTTTTATCGAAGGATATCTCTCCAAAGCGACAACACACATTGAACCGCGTCCCTACTGCTAAAATAACCTCTGCAGGAAGGCCAGTGGATCACCTAGAGACGACCTTTGTAAAATGCGTGACAACCTGTCGATGAGAATATTTTATTTGTCTTGAATAACCAAACGGAAGGTCGTAGGAGCTGATTTACTCGCTGTACTTTGTAGTTTGTTGCCAATATCCATCTGAAAATCAGGTTCTGGTTTCTCTGTCATTGATATTCTTTGAATTGGCCACAGACCCATACAAGCTGCCGTAAGCTTTTTCCAATGAAAATTTTCAACCCTTTTAAAAACTAGGTTAAGTCACACAGTGGTTTTTCCTCCCCCCCTCCCCCTGAGGGCTGCGTCTTTACTATGGCTACCCTCTCTTCATAAGGTGGAAAAAGAGAAGAGGTTGGGCTGTAACATGTTTCTCTGCTCTAACTTCTTTGCTGCACTTGATGTGGGAAAATCTTGTTCAGTAACGTTCTGTGCTCATTTGTTGCAGGATCAGTGAGGAGTTGTTAGAAGATGCTTTGCAAGAAGTTGGTCATGAGCTTGATGATGTGTGTGATGATTACGCCGAGGCCTTGTATAACCAGGAATTTGTTTCAGTCAGCTCAGACACGTGATCAATGTCTTCCTTCCTTCATATTTAGGAATGCAAGAAATAATACAGCCTGTTTAATTGGACTTCAACGTACAGTTCCAAGGATTTTACGTCGTCTGCTGCGATGGCAACTATTCACGTTAGAAATGCTGTTATATGACTGGCTCAATAAAATACAACCAAGTGTTGAATTCAATTACATGAATTAAGTCATTGTGAATGGAGTTTCATCCTCTTTCCGACACTTTACGTCGCGTAAATCTCATCTCTGGCCACATTATAAACTTATAAATATGGAGCCTTTGGAGGCACCTCCCTATCTCTCGAAGAAAGTGATCAATTTTGCTCATAAACAAAACCTATTGATTCAATACTCAGAGGGAATTTTCTCGTCCTACGAAAGAGCTGTAACTTTGAAACTATTTCTTGAGAGACAGAAAACGATGCTCGTTCTTACCGCCCCATGAAACGTCCAGTTTTCTTTTTCGTGATGTGAAAAGATTGATATTAAAACAATAGAAACTTGTTAATGAGCCAAGGCGGACACTTGCTCACAGTACTTAGTGAGCTGTTTCTAACCCACTGTTTATTGTCTAGGAAATCCTCTCTCTAACTGAGATATAAGCGCATAAATATTTAAACAGTAGAAATCGGTTAATGAGTATTCTGAAGTTCAAAAGGGCCATCATGCCTACTAACAAAATTCTCTTGTTTGAATATTCAGCAAAATTTCTCGTCACATGGAAAAGATTTGACATTGAAACTTGCATACAATAAGGGCCAATAAAGCGCACTCCAACGTGCTATTAAGAGTCAGGAAAATCTTTTAATTGTACAAGGGTAAGAATATTTAAACGATAGAAATTGGTTAACGAGCTTATGAAGACCTCAAGTCAACCCTTGTTGAAGAGGCCTTATTTTGCTCATTAAGAAAAATCCATTGTTTGAATATTCAGAGGAGATTTTCTAGGCCCACAAAAGAACTTTGACTTTGAAACATGCATGTAAAAGGCAGCTTATCAAGCTCTATTTAACGAACTATTTATTGTCCAAGAAATTTCCCCTCTAGTTGAGATGTATGCGCATGAATATTTAGACAATAGAAATTGGTTAATGAGCATTTGGGGACCCTGAGCTAACCCTATTTTTAAAGGTCTATTTTAGCTTATTAACAAAAATCCATTGTTTAAATATTCAGAGGAGATTTTCTCAGCCCACAATAGAGCTGTGGCTATGAAACTTACATAAAGTACGCAGCTAATCAAGCCCTTTCTAACGAACTATTAATTGTTCAAGAAATTCCCCCTCTTATTGAGATATGTGCGCATGAATATTTAGACAATAGAAATTGGTTAATGAGCATTTGGGGACCTCGAGCTAACCCTAGTTGAAGAGACCTTATTTTGCTCATTAAAAATCCATTGTTTGAATATTCAGAGGAGATTTTCTAGGCCCCCAAAAGAACTGTGACTTTGAAACATGCATGTAAAAGGCAGCTTATCAAGCTCTATTTAACGAACTATTTATTGTCCAAGAAATTTCCCCTCTAGTTGAGATATATGTGCATGAATATTTAGACAATAGAAATTGGTTAATGAGCATTTGGGGACCCTGAGCTAACCCTATTTTTACAGATCTTTTTTAGCTTATTAACAAAAATCCATTGTTTAAATATTCAGAGGAGATTTTCTCAGCCCACAATAGAGCTGTGGCTATGAAACTTACATAAAGTACGCAGCTAATCAAGCCCTTTCTAACGAACTATTAATTGTCCAAGAAATTCCCCCTTTTATTGAGATAAATGTGCATGAATATTTAAACAATAGAAATTGGTTAATGAGCTTTTGGGGACCTTGAGCTAACCCAAGTTCAGAGGGTCAATTTTTCCTCATTAACAAAAATCCATTGTTTAAATATTCAGAAGATATTTTCTCGGCCCACAATAGAGCTGTGGCTATGAAACTCACATAGAGTACGCAGCTAATCAAGCTCTTTCTAATGAACTACTAATTGTTTAAGAAATTCCCCCTCTAATTGAGATATATGCACATGAATAATTAGACAATAGAAATTGGTTAATGAGCATTTGGGGACCTTGAGCTAACCCTAGTTTTAAAGGTCTATTTTAGCAAATTAACAAAAATCCATTGTTTAAATATTCAGAGGAGATTTTCTCGGCCCACAATAGAGCTGTAGCTATGTTACTTACATACAGTACGCAACTAATCAAGCTCTCTCTAACGAACCATTAATTGTCCAAGAAATTCTCCCTCTTATTGAGATATATGTGCATGAATATTTAGACAATAGAAATTGGTTAATGAGCATTTGGGGACCTTGAGCTAACCTCAGTTCAAAAGGTCTACTTTTGCTTATTAACAAAAATCCATTGTTTAAATATTCAGAGGAGATTTTCTCGGCGCACAATAAAGCTGTGACTTTGAGACTTGCATGTAAAACGCAGCTAATCAAGCTCTTTCTAAAGAACTTTTAATCGTACGCAAAATCCTCTTTCTAACTGAGATGTAAGCGCATGAATATTTAGACATTAGAAATTGGTTAATGAGCTTCTGGGGACCTTCATTCAACCCTATTTTGCTCATTAACAAAAATCTATTGTTTGAATATTCAGAGCAGATTTCCTCGTCTCACACAGGAGCTGTGACTGTGAAACATGCACACAACAGACATTTATCCAAGCTCGTTTTAACACGCTACAAATTGTTCCATAAATCTTCATCTTTTCCCAGATATAAATACGTGTTTTAACAATAGAAATTCGTCAATGAGCTTTTGGGGCTGCATAGAGTAGCTTCCATTTGAATACTTGTAATCACTATGTGGAATGTTTGTTGTTGTCGCAATGTCATCAGACAAAACTTTCCCCTCTATTTCTTTTCTGTTGCAATTAAATGTCTCGATGTTAAGTGTAATATTGAATGATATAGAACGTTACCACAAAAAGAGTTCAGAAAAGGGTTCTGGAAAACCTTAAACTTTATTGATTGTACTAAAAAATATTTGCAAGGAGGTGAAATATGTACAACGTAACGTGGCTATGAAATATATATATATATTATAAACCTCCTGTTTATTAATCTGAAATTACAAAATTATATGTACACGATTTCGCTCCAAATTTCATAAATAGCAACTCGAAAATACACCACTGTGATCTCTACAAATTGACTGAGGTACATATAATACACTGAGAATTTCGAAAATGGCACGCATCTTGAATTCTAGTTTGACCTAAAGATTCAACGCACATAAATAAAAAGGTGGTAGGACCCGTAATTGAAAGGGAGAAAATTGACCGTCATGAACCACTTGATAATATTTATCTAGGGCTTGTCATAATTCTACAATAGCATAAGGGAAGGTAATAAACTAAAAGGAAGCAAGTTGACGTGAGAATGCCTGAGTCACACAATGTTGCGTGACCGAAAATAGTACACACCAACGGCGTCACGATGTTCTTACTATTTTTGGCACAAGATCAAGACTTGCTACATTTCAGTTTCAGCAAAAATATTCTGAGGGGTTAACTGTTGGATATGTCTAACGATGGTTAGCACCAGAACGGCTGAAATACTTTGTCGTTACCTCTAAAAGTCAATGCACAAGAAGACTTTGCGCAAGAGTGTCTTCGTTCCCAGACTAAACGGTCAAAAAATTGTGGGATAAGTTAAGACCTGGGGACAAAATTAAATACTAAGGTAGCCTGAAGGAAGCGAGAGGGGTGTTTACCTTAATTATTCTCTCAAAGTTGCATAACACGTTCGGTCGAGCGAAAGAGTCGTCTCCTTTAGAATTCTCCATTTTTCCTAAATTATAACACACTATTGTGATAGACTCGTCTGAGGAAAAGTTAATTATAGTAAGTAAAACTTACATCGAAATTGGCTGTTGGTGTTTTCATAAATTTAGACGTAAACAATAGAAAATGTCTTTTTACATCTAGCAGTAAACTGATATTCAACGCTACCTCTTGGTGACGGGGCTTGAAAATTTTGAACAGATTTCAAAATACGATTTTCAAAATAAATCACTGAGAACCAGTGCAATACTCGACAGCTCCAAATTGCTTTTCGACGTAGAGAACCAATTTGGTTCAGATTATTAGGGAACACTTTCTTGTTTAAGATAAGAAACTGTTAAAAAATATACTCTGCTAGTTCACATCAACCCCGGTAATACGAGTTCCACCGTGTCTGAAAATAAAAAAGAAAAAAGCCACAGATCAATTTATGGTTCGTGTAATGTCAACTTTTTTACATGTTATATCTCCACAGTTCGCCTACCCAATTTAATGTTAGGAAGGATTCAGTCTATGCAATCTTTTTGGCATGCTAGGTTTGTTGGATGCGATGCCTGCGTTACCAACATTGTCGCATAACATGTCGGAGGGGTACTCCAACACTTTTCAATTTTGTGTGGATGATTCATTCGACATAATTTTGTATTAGAGGCTGGTAAAATACTTCAAATTGTACCACCGAAATTGGCTCTTCGCCCCTCAGATTTCCCTCCAACAAAATAACCAGCTCCCATATGGCTTTTTAGCTCAGTTGGTAGAGCGCTGCACCAGTATCTCCCAGGTCATAGGTACAACTCTCGTACGAGACTGAATTTTTTCCAAGCTTAGTTTTCTCTACTGCTTTAGTAATATTCATTACTACGAAGATCACTCTCACTTTCATTCCCCTCCCTCTTCGTGAAACAATACGATGAGGAACAGGTCTTAATATAATGGGAATATAATTGTATAACATGCAAATTCTTACCAGCCAGTGCTAGCAGGAGGAGGAGTGGAGATGAGCCAAGTTTGCCAAATGCTCTCGCCTCAGTCTCCTCTTTTCCGCTCCGATGTCTTTCATCTCAAGTGACTGCGGGGATGTTTTTTTGTTGGCCAGCGGTTGGGTCGGCTCACGTGTCATGTGATTATTCATTAGGGCAGCCGCTGCCCACTCTGCTTTAGTCTGACGAGACTCGTAGTCAGTACTATCTTGAGAAGACTGAGAATCATCGTGAAACTTCTGCAGCGACTGTCTCCTCCCCTCTAGGGATTCTTTTCGTCCCTGTTGCATTTCGGCTGCAAGCTGATCAGCGTGATTCGTTTTAAACTCACCATTTCTTAATGGTGCAGTTCTTTGACTTGAGGACCTCAGAGCTCCATCTCTGACTGGTAAATCCACACTAGAAACCCTCAAACGCCCAGTTCGATTAACTTTACCATTTCCACTAATATCAATGGCAGATACCACACGATGAGTTCTTAAGTCTGTACTACTCTTCGCCCAACGTCTGTCACGAGTATGCGTAGTTTCCTCCTCATCGCTCGATCCATTCTCTCCCTGCCTAGGTATTGACTTAGGTCGGCTAAAAGGTCCGTTTTTAGATACAGGTTCCTGGCTCTCGCTCACACTCCTTCCCTGAGGCCTTCCTCGGGGGTAACCTTCATCATTCAGAGACCCTCCTCGGCGTACCCTCCTCCCATTGATATCAGAAGCATTAGGTAGATACCCGGATATGGGTTGTCTGGTACCATTCGTACCCGGCTCGTGACTTTGTTTCGGTGTACTCGTCAAAACCTGTTTTTCACTCCTTGCTGGGTTTTCCTTAGCCCGACGTTGTTGTACTGGAAATGTAACTACATTCCCTTTTTGATTGGAATTAGTTACCCATGTGGGCGAGACACCATTTGAAACTGAGCTATCCCCCGTAAGATCGACTGTATGCCGATTTAATGGCGCGCGCTGACCGACAATGTCCGAATAACTATCGACGTCTGAGTCGGATGGGTCGGCGACTGAAGAATTTCGCGAGTGATCTACGACGGATGAAGTTGTATGTTGCTTATTGGCACTGCGCACGTGTCCGTTGAAACCTGAATAGGAGTTTACGGCGTTTGGATGATTCCTATTTACAAGCAGAGGCTGTGATTTGGAAAGAGCTCGAAAGCTTCTTCTTTCGGCTTCTGCAACTGCTGCCGAGTTAATCGACTCGTTTGAAGGATGGGCCTCAGTTTTCACTGGCCTGGAGGTGATGCTGGTTTTGGAACCCTTACTAATGCCCCTTGAATTGCTAACATCGTTGGAACTGTGGTCCACATCTTTAGACTTAGTGTCAAGATCCGAGTCGATAGAAGCTGATTTGAGAGATAAGTTGGAGATGACAGTTGAAGCGGAATGGACCTTGGAGAGTTTAAAGGTAGGATCTTCCTTCTCTGCAGGATTTTCTGAATCTGAAAAAATAAGAAAATAAGGTTGTATTCATATCAAGTCCCACCTTTCTCTCAAGTCTACTGACGGTGCATCCAAGGGCAACAAACGTAGGGCACTTAAAAACGCTGTTTTCGTATACGTGCCGTATGGTTCTCTTGAGACGCAAGCCGTTCGCAAACATGCCGAACTTTGAAATGAAGCTGTGAAACGAAGCTTTCTTTGTTAGGGAAGCAACCGAACACGTTTCCAAAACAACTGTAATTTGTATGTTTACCTGTGAGAGCACACAAGGCCTGCACAGTACACTGTACCGCACGTCTGCTATTCGCTTTGCCGGATCGAAGCATCACTTCATCTTTGCCCACGCCAATCAGATCAAAACCGAGAGAAGCCAGCAGCTCGTGACAGCCGGAAGTGCGCCATAACTTGAGATTTAAAGGCACCTGTACGTTGTTCATTCCTTGGGCGAAACATGACAAAACCTGACTGAACTGTGACGCAAAGAGAGAAGAAACAAGCTCAACGTTTGGGTAGAAAAAATAGCAGCCTCAAGTAGCATGTACGTATAACATAGCCACCTTTATTTTCATAAAATATCTGTACCAACAGAAGTTTGCAGTTAAGACGCAATACCAACTGAACATTATCTAACACTGACGACAAGATCTACAACAGTTATCAAAGTTGTCGCTGGAGACAAACTGAAATTTCTCATCACGAATACGCAGAAATGAAGAAAATTCCATTTCAGTAGATTTCTTTTTGAAGTGAGAGCACTTTTCAGTTTGCCTTTTTTCAGCTAATTGTCTAAGAGATGAGAACATCCACGCAGCTTGGTGTTTCAACACAGGATGCTATACTACGCACATTGATTGATACAAAACCATTTTTGACTTACCAGAGCCACTAAAGCTGTGTTCACTGTGCGTGCATTCACGAGTTTGGCCAGCGCCTGCAAAGTGGTGGGACTCAGACCTGAAGGAAAAAATTGACGTTTTTTAATTTTTTTGTCGCCCTTTCGAAGGAGAGGGTCAAAAAGCGTTGTGTGAAAGTTCATAAGCCTCAAAAGTGCACGTTCTACTGCTGCTCGGGTCGTTGAATAGGACCTCTGTTGTAGAAACAAACCCAGAAGTATCATTCTCAACTCTGAAAGAGAGGCCAGTTCTCTGCAGGTATAACCAGCACTTGACAGGTACCTGGTACTCGTTTGGACCCCTAGGGGATAGAGGCCCCGTGAGCGTGAAGGGTTCCCGACCGCCGCCTCCCCTCCCCCCAAAAGAAAAAAAAAAGGTTCAAGAAAGATCTGTCTCCTTTATTGTGACAAAGAAAGAGAGAAAAAAGGAACTTTCATTACAAACTATTTTTAAAATAATCCTTTCTTTACACCGAGTGTTTACTCACCCAGCAAAGCGTGTAAATGGTTACTTGCATCAGCCAGCTTGTCTGCCACACCACTGGATACTGTTGGAAAGAAGACGGAGTCCGGAAGTCCGTTAGCAGCCTTCTGAAACCGGAAGCCAAGAAGCTTGAGCAATTCTCGCCAACCGCTGGCTCCCTTGACTTTGGCATTGATGCTTGCGTCCGCTGTGTACATGGACGACCGCTGACCTGAACGAATCCGCTGTTGCGCCTTGTCCACCTGAAGGCGAAGAGCGAATGAACGAGGGAGTTAACTTAACTGGAAACACGAAGGGGGGGGAAAGGTGGGGGGAAGAGGGTGGGGGGAGGGGAAAAGGTGGGGGGGAAGGGTGGTGAAGAGGGGAAAAGGTGGGGGAGGGTGGTGGGGAGGCGGGAAAGGTGGGGGCGGGTAACCTTACGATGGACTACCATTCCATCCAGGGGGGAGTAGTGATACTCTTAGTCGCTTCATGCTATGGAAACAGAGATTTAAGGTCACCTATGCACAGACAAAACTAAGCTATTGATCATTAAGGTCCCCGGTTCGTCTGCACAAAATCTTTAAGAGAGGCGATGGGTTACTTTAATTGAAAGAGTTGACAGAGTTTCACGTACCAGATGAACAAGAACTTTCAGTGCATCTCTGCAGTTCACAGGGTTGTCTAACAGTTTGGAAATGGCACTACTCATCAGAGCTTCTTTATTCGTCAGAGCTGTGTCTCCACCAACAAGGATAAATCCAGCCCAGTTTGACGGATGTGAAAACTGCTTTGTTCCCTGAACTACCTGCATGGCCTGACACAGAGATTGGCTCGCCATCATTCCTTGAAGGAGTCCGCCGTAGAACGCTTTCAGAAGCAACTTGCACGCCAGGTCTGGGACAGGCCACAGGGCAACCAACAAACTCTGTGCTCCAGCCGACAGGAATGATCTCGTCAATCCGATCACACCATCCGATGTAATCCGATTGCGCGACGAGTGGTTGTGCGCAGCGCCAATAACAACGAGTTTTGCTGATAATTTCTGGTCTAAGATATCGGCTGCTGTGAGAAGGAATTCAGACAAAGCCGGTGCTTCGTCAGGACTCATGTCACCAAGAAAGTCCAGACTCGCTCTTTCGGGTGATCCTGCGGGCGTGATCGATTTGTCATCGGAATTCTGCGGCGAAAGAATAAGAGATGATAGTTTCCAAGACACATGAGTAGCAAAATGAATGCACTCCGCTTTCGGCAACTTTCGGACGACTTCGCTCTTAGTCGCAACACTGCCGAGTAGCGGTTTCGTGTTGAAGAGTTCCGCCACGATCTTAGCTTCGTGCTCAGCGCTCGGGTTCGATTCCCATTGTCCGAACGTCGTCGGGACCTTCGGGTTTCCGATGATCGTTACCGAAGATGTATCGAGTCCACTTTTCCTCAACATGAGAGTTTTGATGTTCGAGGCGAGAGCTTGCAATGAAGGAACAACGATAAGCCTAAAGCGACGGAAAAGATAATCTTTAGAAAGGCTCCCTTTTAAGACAGGAAACGGCACCAGGTACAGATCACCTTGGAGAACCAACGCAAGTGCGGAATCTTCGCTTTCGAAGGACGAAGAAGCAGGTAAAGCGTCTTCCATGGGAGAAATCAAGAGCTCGTACAAAGCACGAAGCGGTGGCTTTCCCGACCAGCCGAGCTTCTTGTTGCTACTTCTTACCCCATTTAATTTTCGGACGTTCCTCGCTGACAAGAAGCTGCTCCTCTGGTTTGACTGGAAACTGTGACCGCCAAATGACAATGACGACACACTTATGGTATCATCATCATCCCCTGACATGTATGACAGTGGGCTCGCGCTGAACACACTGTCTCTTTCCCAGGTGTCTTCAACTTCACTCTCGGACATGCTAGTCGTGCGATTCAAATTTAAATGCGGTTCAACTCCGAGAGCATCGCGTACCTGCGTGATGTACGAATCTAACAGAGTAGAGGTGTGCGAGTAGGCTGCGCTGCTACTTTGATCTAAGTCAACTAACACTTCATTGTCATGGTCTCCATCCGAGAGAAGAGAGTCGTGAAACTTCACAATTCCTTTATTCGGAGTGATGAGCCAGCTGTACAAGTGTCCTGCGGCTATGGAATAGTACAAGACACTTGCCTTTTGACTGCGTACCAAGTCTGTGATTTGTTCAGGTGTCGTCAACGGATTCTCCAAATACTTCGAAATTCCGTTCTCTGATCGATTACTTCCTTGTCGTTCTTGAAGCAAATCGATAAAATCTCGGGTCCGACTTCGCTCGGCGACCGCCAACGCCTCCTCATGGTTGCCCATAGTAACTAAAACTCGCTGTAAAACTTGGTAAGTCGCAGCTTGAAGTTCATACAAAGACAATTTATACTCGCCACTACTAATACCTTCTTCGCGCAATTTCTCCAATAACTCCGCCGCGCGGAAAAGATGCAGCTGCGATGCATCCAGCTGATTGGCTGCCAAATATGACAAACCTAATCGATGACGTATTCGCGCCTCGTCTTCACTCCTCCCTAGAGCCTCTACGATCGTAAGGCCTTTGTTGAGATATGAGATAGCCTGGGAATAATTTGCCAAGGCATGATGGGTTCTTCCTAGTGAACTGTATGCCTGCGCTTTCGCTGCTTGGTCGTTCATTTGCGAGGCGATGTTTAGATGTTGGCCTTGGTAGATTGCCGCTTGTTCGTAATTTCCGAGAATTTCGTGCGTCATGCCGAGATGAAACGACGCCCGACCGCGGCGGCCGAGGTCCTTTTGTTTTTCGGCGACTGTCGTTTCTTGTTCGTGTAGTTTCAACGCCTTTTCGTATTCCCCCATCTTCTGGTTCACCAGCCCCAGTCCACAGAGGGCGTCTCCTTCATTAATGGCATCATTACACTCCCTCGCCAAGGACAACTGTTGCTCGAAACACGCAAGGGCTTGCTCGTAGTTTCCAAGAATCTTGTGCATATTTCCCAACTCGCAGTAAGCTGCCCCTTTGGAATGGAAATCAGTCAACTCATGAGCCACCACTAATCTCTTCTCGAAGCACACAAGAGCTTGTTGCAGATTTCCCATTGTCCTGTGCGCGTTCCCTAGTCCGCGGTAGGCCTTGTCCTGGTCAGCAGCACTCTCCATTTGTTGCCCAGCGGCAAGATATTTATCGTAAAATTTTACGGCTTCTTCATGGTCACCCAGCACGTGGTAACACTCACCCAGATTCCCATATGCACGGCCACTTTCAAGCAAGGCACCTGTAACCTGTTCCAACGTGGCGATCTGCTGTTCAAAAAATCCCAGCGCCTCTTGATAATCTTTAGTGTTCATTTTTGTGATTCCCAGGTTACCACAAGCTTCTGCTTGGAGAATACAGTCATCAAGTTCATTTGCGATGGAAAGCTCTTCAGAATAGGACACGAAAGCATCGTTATACTGTTGTAAGCTGCTGTGAACTGAGCCGAGATTGCTTAACGCTTTGCAAATACCAACAGAATCATGCGCTGTTCTTCTCAGTTCTAACTCTTTTTGAAAGCAAACCAACGCCCTATCAAAATCACGCGCAGTCCGAAAAGCGCTACCCAAGGCTCCGTGCGCTTCGCTCTCCAGAGCAGCATCCTGCGCCTTCTTTGCGACTTGTAGTTGTTCCTGGAAAAATCGTATTCCCTGATTTGTGTTACCCAGTGTCACATAAATATCACCAATGTTTCCGCAAGCTTTAAATTCGCCTTGGACTTGCATGGCCTCCTGTGAAACAGTTAGGAATTCTTTCTGACACTCCAACGCTTTCTCTTGTTTGCCGATTGCACTGTAAGCCAGTCCTAGATTACAATATGCTCGTCCTAAGCTTGTCCTGTCTTCCAGATCTTTAGCTATTTCAATGTTTCTCTCGTAATAAGGTACGGCATCTAGGTGACCGCCTAACGAGTAATGCGCAAATCCCAGATTGTGACAAGCTTTGCACTCGCTCACACGATCCCGCATATGTCTCGCGACGGACAAAAAGTTTTCGTAGAAAGGAATAGCTTTAGTGAAATTTCCGCAAGAACTGTAGTAATTCCCCAAATTGCTCAAAGCGATGGCTTCATTTGACTGATCGCCGATTTCTTGTGAAATAACTAAGTGTTGTTGATAATGTTTCAATGACTTGTCGAGACTTCCAATCGCTTGATAAGCCACTGCAAGATTTCCATGCGTGCAGGCTTCTGACGACCGATCGTTCACTTCTTTGGAAATCATCAGTTCTTGCTTATGGAACTTAATAGCTTGTTCATACCGCGCACAAGCGCTGTAAGCGCAGCCCATATTCCCGTAGGCTCGCCCCTGTCCCGCTCGGTCCTCCAACTCTTTACAAATAGCCAAGTGTTTTTTGTGAAGTTTTAGGGCTTGTCCATAAAGCCCCCTCTGCTGGAAAATAACCCCCAGGTTGGAAAGCGCTCTCCCCTCGGTCGCTCGATCTTTGAGTTTGATCGCCAAAGCAAGTTGATATTCGTGAAAAGACACTGCCTGATCTAAGTCACCTTTGCATCTCAGAGCATGTCCTAGGCCAGCATACGCCCTCGCTTCCATAAAAGAATCTTTGGTCTTCTTCGCCACGTCCAAGACCTGCTTGTGAAACTGGATTGCTTTGTCGAAGTCTCTCTTGTAATGGAAAGCACTTCCTAAGTTGCTGTACGCCCGGCCTTCTTCTGCCTTGTCTCCCAGCTCAACCGCAATTTTCAAATGTTCTTGATGATATTTTATTGCGTTGTCATAATCCGATAACAAGACATGCACAGCGCCAATGTTTCCTAGTTCTCTCGCTTCGCCTTGTCTGTCTTTCAACTCCTTATAGATCTGCATTGATTGTTTATGACTTGAGATAGCACTTGTGTAATCAGTCATCGAAACATGTGTATGCCCTAAAGAACTCAAGGCACTCGCGGCGGTTTTACGATCTTTAATTGTCAAAGCAATATCCAGCTGACTTCTCTGATGCTCCACAGCTTCCTTGAACATTCGTTGTGAGTAATATGCTCCTCCAAGATTACCATAAGCTCTGCATTCTCCACCTTTGTCGTTCAAAGACTGTGACGTCTCTAGATCTTGTCTCATGTATTCCATGGCCTTCTTTAGATTTCCAAGTTTCCAATAAGCTGTACTTAAAGCCGAGATGACAGAGCCCCGGAGACGTAAACCGCAAGTTCCAACTTTCAAAGCAGCCTCGAGGCAATCTATGGCTGCTGTTACATGTCCGGCAGAAAGAAGTTCTTGTCCGATAACTGATATCATTACAAAGGCGCTCTTGTCAAGTTTCATGCCTTTCAGCTGGCTGTAGATTGGCTCGAGGGTAGCTGTGAAGAGAGAAAAACAAAAACACGCAAAGATATAGTTCACTAAATTCTCTACTCTAAATTACAACAAAATTACGGCGGTACTTTGGGAGAACTACTTCTCTGAGCTAGCTTCTAGCAGGGTCAAGACCGAGTAAGGCGATGAGTGCATGAGAATTGTCTTTTCAATACGTTCGCACATTCATTGCGGTTTTTATTATTAGGTGAATGTTTACGACTTAACCAGATGTGGCGAATGTTGGCTTCACAGCCAAATCAACCGCGAATTCCGACAGTAATTTATTAGAGGTCACTAAAACAAGTCTTGCATGAGTACACAGTCTTCAAAATAGTGCAGGCTTGTGTCATGCATCTTTAGCTAAGGCCTTCCTCATTAAAAATGGGTTTCCATTTAAGAACGCTTAACGCATAATTCTACCTTTTCACTTAAAACACACGGATAAAAACGGTGACTGTTTCAAAGGTGAAGCATTTTGTAAACATCGTTTTGGACAAGCCATTTCTAGTGCGGACAGGTGAAAAAGGTGACGAAAAAAGCATCCCATACGACTGGCAACGTTTTCATCGGCCTTTTAGTACAAAAATCGCATGTGTTTTCAAATGATAAAAGTTTTAGTCTTATCAGATTAAAAGGAGGCAAAAACAACAACTTGGGTGACAATATTTACCTCCGCTTTGGCTGAGACGAACACAGATCCCTTTAAAAACAAATTAGTGATGTCGGGGCCGAAAGTTCGATACTTGTACTTGTTTTTAAAGAAACAAAGGGCAAGGTAATGAAACCGATAGGGAAATATTTCAAGGATTAAGATAGTGTGTCTTGGGAAAATATTGTCAACTTAATTTTTTGAGCGTCTTACTGTATTAGACAACAACCTTTTGCTAGATTACACCGAATATCATTAGAGAATCGCATGTTGTTTTCCTACGGATGTACACAAACGCAACGCACCAAAGATACGCAGTATTTTTGGGCCCTTTTTGCAGGTGGTGTTTGTTCTTCTCAATGAGGTCTAAGTATTGACGGATGATGTAATGTATATCTCGGCATATTAAGCTAGAAGGTTTTTTTTTTTAAGTACCTCTGAGAGCACATATCAAAAACCACGCAATCTATTATATGTGCTCCTCTGATATGAAGTCCCGCAGTTGTTTGTTGTGCCGAAAGAATACTTCGGATAAAAAATTTGATCATACAAATTTAGAGAGAGAACCCAAGTCAAACAAATCAAGAACCAATCTCAGGGAATTTCGACGAATTAGATTTGGAAGAAAACAACGGACACTTTCTGCCGGCTTAGAACACTTCTACCCCTTTTTTATTCGACGAGACAAAGATTCCAAAGAGATTGAATTTTTACACGATAAACGGAATTTTCGCTTTCGGTTTTACGATCGTCCATGTCCTCTCAACGATTGATTGGTTATCGTTTGACATTCTCGCAAGATGGCTCTTTACATACATATTCAATCAGAGCGGCATACAAGGGAACCTTTCACAACTTAGCGCCAGAGCTATTCTATAATTTTACAGAAAAAAGGGTTTTTTACTACAAGACTTCTTTACCAGCGTGCCCCAGAATAACCCTAACGGCGCAAGACTAGAATTGTCAACATGAAATCCTATCCTCTTTCAAGGTGTTCCACTGACTCTTCCAGTTGGCGCACTTACCGTTATAAGAGGATTAAAGAAACGGATAAAGAACCATCTCTAGGTCAGACAAACGATCAAGAGATGTGACACAAGACTGGAAAGTGCGTTTGTTATCACGATTTTCGAGGAAACACCCAGCCTAGTCTGTCATGAGAATTCTTCTAAGATTTTAAAAACAACCGCCTGATGTTCTTGTAATTTTTAGTGTTGTGTTGTCCTCTCCAGCATTAGAATTAATCGTATTATTGCAATCTTTTTCCACGGAATACCTAAGGATTAAAATATTTTTATCTCCGTAGATCTGCTCGGTGTTAATTTCAGTTACGTGAGGATATAGTAATCTACTCTCCAGGCAGATATTTGTGGTTTTGGTTTCTGGATTGTGTTCGCGTTAGTGCGGTAATTTCTTGACAAGGATGTCCTGTTCCATACATTTCAATAGGCTGAGTTTAAGCCGAGCTATCGAATATAGTCTGTCAGGCAAGGAACCTTGCCATCACCAGGCTTGTTCCATCGGGGCCCTAGGAATACTTCCTATGGTGCACTACACGGGAATGATCCGCCCTGAGATGGGCTCTTTTTCGAGGTTCAGGCAATATCGTATACAAATGGATGGGAATCTCAAAAGAGAAGACGGATCTTAGCGTATAAGGGCAACGTAAAGCTAATGCATTCGAGTAAAGAATGTCTAAGGTGTTAAATGTAGCCTTTACATCTTTCCTGGTTTATCGCAATATGCAAGCGATTAGAATGAAGCAAATTTATGAAAGTGCTAAGCTACGGACCTCGCAACGAACACATTTTCATAAAACACTTGTTAATTGTCCCTTTTTTCGCTCCCCGGGGCCCATTTTCATATAATTAGATACTCTTATGAACTCTGCGATATTTACCTCTCAGTGGGGACTTCATCGCGGCTTCAGTCAGAGAGTTCAGCAGTTGAGGGCTTTTGTCATCCTGCGCAAGCGCAGACGCAAAGGCTCCCAGTGCATCCGCATGCCGACCCAGGCACTGCAGCGCCACTCCTTGACGGTAATAGGCCTGGAAATGACAACAACGAGTTAGACACAATGGGTGTTACAGAGGTATTGTCTCAGATTTAAAATATGACCTCAGAAGACGCTGCTTGTTACAACGGAATCAAAGTTAAATTAAAATCAAGCAGATTAAAGTAATGGTTACTAAGTTGCAGTTCGTCAAATTTCTCCAAAGATGAGTTTAAATGAGTAATCTGGAAAGCGAAGCTCTTACAGATATACACGAGTTACAGCCACTTTCCCATCTGAGTGTCTTGTATAAATACATTTCCTTCATTCTGATCTTCTAAAAGCGACATTCATCGAATTTCGTGTCCGATAGACCCGAACACGCACAAAACTGAAGAAATACACGAACTACGCATCAAAAATTCACAACTTCCGTGGTAAATAAATCTCTCTCACAACAAAACCCCTAAGATGACCCTTTCGTAATGCAGTAAGATTTGTTTTTGATAAAAACTACTTCGTATTAAGTTATCAGGAGTGTACCAACACAAACCTGGACTTTCATTTGATCAGAATACCACCGAAGTTGATTTAACGTTGCCCTTAGTAGACTGAGGCCTGAGATGCAATCGATCACTGAACTGACTTGCTGAGATTTGCGTATAAAGCGATATCACGTCACGAAAACTGACACGCAATTTCACAGTAGTAATGGAATATTTATTAGCTAAATATAACATTGCATTATCATCATTACCTGCCACCCAAACAGCTAAGAGATAAGTCGGGAGATTTTAATTAAATTTTCGCTTTTGTTGACATACAAGCGACGACGGAATAAGAAGCATAGCTAGACCTGTTTATATTTCATAGTTAAGTCTCCCAGTTGGTTAATTTTATCACAGCCTATTGGATTTTGCGATAACTTTTCCTTCCTGTGGCGGGAATTTCTTGTCGTACGTGGCAACCCTAATCTTATCGACGCAAAGTAACCAGCACTTAACCGCAAAAGATATTTTAAACTTTCAATCAGAAATAACCTTTCGAATAACATTCAATCCCTTGATCTTTCCCTACACCTGCAGTACAAAAAAACTAGACTCTAAAGTTCACTCCAAGATGTTAAGGACCTGTCTGAAAACTGCATAAATACAGTTATCAATGTCATAACAAAACCATGGCGGTGAGGTTCTGCAATGTTATTATTCCGGAGATAGGAAATACTGCATGATTTACCTTCCGCTGGTATCGCTTACACGTAAACATTTCAGGATCGTGTATCAAAACATCGCACAGAAAAACACAAACGTAATTTCACGAGATAAAAGTACAACATTATAATTTCCATCACGTTCAAAATACTTGAATTTCTGAATGTATAATAGTTATAACACAATGAAAGCAATAACTGTTTACAAATTGCCTGTGTTGAATCAATTAACATCACTAATCTACTAAATACCATTTAATAGACTTCTCGAGGAAAGCCATTTATATGCAGGCAAAATTATTTGGCGAGTACGTTTCTAAAACTTCAAAAAATTCAAACGTTTGTCTGCAATTCCATACCCTAAAAATTCCAGTTCTTACCTGTAGTGCAATAAACAAAAGATTCTCATTCATAATTTCCCATGCTTTCTGTTCACACCAGAAACCGCATAACTAGACATACCTCGGATAAATTTCCATCAAAAGGAAATAAATCTGATATACTTAAGATATCTCGTTTCTTTACACGATAAGATTCATGCTGCAAGAGAGAAATTTAGACTCGTGCATATAGAAATAAAAGCAATATTTCAATGATCAACATCCAGCTCATTCTGTATTCTGGTAGTGTCCTAACTTTTGTGACAGAAAAACTTCGGCGATATTGAGCAGTGAAAATGAAACGGCGCCAAATTTCTGATATTGCACTTGGTTTAATGACCATTACAATAAGACCAGTGCAATATCACTGACTAAAATAAGTCCACAAACAACATAACTGGAATAACATTCAACGCGTTTGCAGCAAGAAATAATGAATCCTTAAAACTAAGTTAAGAATCTTCCAGAATCGGATAAACCTCTTTAATTTCTCAAATGAGATTTTCAAAGTTTGACAAGAAATCATTGCGTGCAGTTCATATATCTTTAATTAATTGATATTGTGAAAAAGCACAAGGGTTTTTTTAGAACACTAATTTTCGGTTGACTTCAATTCATAGTTACCTACATTACACAACTAAATTGAATTTTCATTTACGATTAAACCTTTTTTATTAGCGACTGAAATTTGTTTCCGTTCCGCATATTTATAGAGAAATAATTACGTTTGGAATCTTAGATATTCAATAAATGGAGCGATTTGTCATCGTCACTAGACCACCTTGCACAAACTTTGTCTAATTTACAAGTTATCAAATTCTTCTAACTGGGAGCATAGACAAAAATACAAAAAAAGCCCAAACGCTTTTTTTTTAAAATTCATTCAGTGCAATTTAAAAACTTTCCAAAGAGCTTCGAAGAGTCCCTTAAGGTAACAGTTGCCTACAATAGATCGCTGACCTGCAACTCGTCAAAACATTCAGAGAGTTCATGTTCCTCTCAGTTGTTGAACCAGACAAATTTAAGCGCATACTAATTCAAGACAGGAATTTGCTGCCCGGAAATGAAGAGAACGTAGTACTCGAAATTAACAGTGTTCCTTCACGTGAATAGTAAATGCAAAACGTGCTTACAAAAACAGACAATAAGGTCTCTCTTTACTAAGCTAACAAAATTTCCATAATTCAATTGTGCTATCATTTTATTGGCATCAAGATATGGCAACTTAAAAGAAAATCATACTCACACCAAATACCAACAGGTGTAGAAAATCGAAATAAAAAAGGAGACTCTCAGAAGCCGCTTAAAAATACGCATAATAAAATTAGATTTTGACACAGCATAACATTCTGACGCAGAATTTCAAAATAATTGAAGTTAACAGTAGTTTCACGGTAAAACAAAATGATAGTGAATTCCTTAATTTTTTTAACAATTTCCTGATGTAATCGATGAGGCAGTATAAGAGTGACCTTCGCACTTTAGTTTACACCCAGCAAAGAATTCACAAAAACATTTTAATAATTCAGTAGAAACATAACACCTCGTCACAATGATAAATTGAATAACGAAGAATCTAAGTAAGAAAAGTGTTTAGAACCAGTTTTAGGGAGGCCATTAAAAAAGAAAAAATACCCTTCGCTTTGCTAGCTTGTGGTAAAATCAGAAAAGGTTTACCGCGAAAATCATTGAAGATACTTTCCTGATTAGTGAGTTATTTAAATCTTGCTTGTAATGAGCATTGTTCCGCCTTTATCACAAAAAACTCTATTAAGGCACTTTAAACTTCCTTTGTTTTGACTTACCCAACTGTTAACTCCAAATACATATCCATGGTCATCGTGTTTTAACGAAGGAACTTTACTCTTCTTCACGAAAGCATGTCGTTTCATTTCATGGCGCCTCGATCGCAGGTCTTCCAGCCACTACATGTGTTCGTTCGAATAACTGCGTGAACTTTGAAGCCAGGAAATTCGAAACAATATGGATACGACAGTAGGAAATTCGTTGTTGCGTTTCTACGATAGATTCCTCAAGGAGTCACTAATAGATGTGGTTTTTTGGCTCTTGAGTTCGAGTAATTTGCGGTAACAACTTAAAATATCCAAGCGTTGTCACTCCGGGCCTTTCAGTGAAATTCGTTATCCACGACCTTGCTGTCGAAGTAACCTTTTATTACATCGAACAAAGACACCCAAGATGATATCCCTTTTCGCAAACCACTAGTGTGCTAAGAATTGACTCAATTAATTGCACTCGCCGCTTCGATCTTTATCGTTTCGGAGGAGAATAACACCATGATTCGGAGCGTGTATTTACAGGTCCTCTCAACCGTCGACACGAACAACTTTCAGCTCTTTAAAGACAGATGTTGTTGAAAACTTGAAGTAAAATTCTAATTTTTCCGTCAACACTTCGTCCTTAACGCAGCAAGATCGATTGAGACGTTAAAACAGAGGTCGAAGTCAGAGCGAGTAAGATCAACCACACATAATTTGAATACGCTCTAGTTTAAACAACCAAATCCGCATGGAATCCAACGCGAAGAGCAAAACGCTATAGGCCAGTAGCCTTGTTAGCAAATAACTAAAACAAATAGCTGCTATTGGATATTAATTTATCATGACTCTTTCTGCTGTGGCGAAAAACTGTTGAAGCGAAACGAAGCACTTATCACACCTATTACACTCACAAGAGCTTGATGATGGAAAATATAATTCAAACTTATCTCGGAGGTATTTATAGCCTTGGATCACTATAAATCTAGTGTAGCTTCGCAGGCAGCCAAAAAATTGTCAACACTGTCTCCGAAAGAGCCAATGACAAAACGAAGGCGGAAAGTGCAAGAAACACAAAAGAACTTCATTGTAAATGTCTTTTCTTAAAGGAAAACTAAACAAACATTCTATCCACCAGCGGTGCTAACAATAACGCCGAAACAAAAGCAAATAAAAAAAAACACTCCCTATAACGCTGGAAAAAAGTTCTCACCGGAATACAAAGAAGAAAAAATATATATATTCACACTGCAACAAATTTCTATTATCTCGATTCAACGATTATCGGCAATTTACAGTTAATGAAATTTCACTTCTCAGAAAATGATTTGACCAGCCGTTACAATCAAAATCTAAAGGTAGAGAAAGATACAAATTTGGTTTAAGTTCCTCCTATTTCTTAATGTGCGCGTTTGTATATCATTATTTCTCAGCATGAAACGAAAAAAATTTAAATAAATTTGCATTTATTTTCCTTCCTTCCGGCAAAGACCTACCTACATTTATACGTTAATATACATTTGTGCTTCTATAGGAAATATATCAATTAAAGACACTCACAAATATAATCGAGAAAGAGCAAATGAAAATATATATCACGAAGAAAATCGAGCTGTTCTTTTTCAATATCGAAAAGTACCCTCTTGTGCTTACAATATTTGATTTTCTTTCCAATTTTCCTTCACAATGGTCAGGCTTAGAGCTTATATAGACAGCTGCAATTTCGTTTGAATGGAAAACCATCACACACGCGAGGGAAAAGCAAAACGCGTTTAGTCAAGTCTACAATCAAAACAAGTTCAAAGAGCTGACGCTTCAGCAATGTTTACATAACAAACTCAAGAGAAGTACATCCCAGGAGATTAAAACAACAAAAACCGTCTTCTTTTACCTATAACTCCAGCACGTGAACAATATCAGCAGGATTTTAAGAATATGAACTGTTATTGACCTTTCAGAAGCGTAACAAAATTAATGTTGGAAATTTAATTGCAAATACTAGACCAAATGGACAGTGGTATGATCGCAGTAACAAAATGAAAAACACTTCAATTTAGTAACAAAGTGCCGTGCAATACCATTTTGGTCCGCACATTGAACGTAACTAAACAAACTTCACAGAGTAATCCTAACGTTTGATATATACTGAACTTTGTAACTGTTTTGTAACCAGCGCGGATGTGAATATTATCAAATTTAATCATATTTGTTCAAAGGTCTTCAATAGCATTATGTTGCGTGTCTTGCAGGCACATCAAACGGCGGCGGAAGCAATTACCTTCAAAAGAGATACAGAAACTCCAAAATAACAGGGTTACTTCGTATAAAAAACACCAACAAAAAAACTGAAAAATGTGGAAAGATGATTAAGAATAGGGAAGATTAAGTGGGATTAGACACGGCGAAAGTGGCACTTCAAAGCTGAATTCACTGAGACGTATAAGTCGTCTTCTGTTCGTTGATTACTGTTTAATTTTCTCGTTCCCATAAGAAAACGCTTTAAGTAATAACACTTCCTCTTTTACTTCTCGTTTGATTCACCTTTTGTTACCCATATCTAATTGCCAGTTGTACAAATATCATCGTTTCTAAACACAGAGACATCCAAATTACTTCAGACAGCTTCCTGGCTGCAACACGTTCTTAAAACCCACCAGTTATTAACCACACGGGTAATACAGGTTTTGTCCTCATTCGCTCTGACGAAGGGCTAACTAAACCACAAGCGTAGCCACAAATACATCTTTCTTTTCAAAATTCCTTCTCTTCTAGAGTTCTAAGTGACAAAGGGCAAAAAGACGAAGCAATAAGGGAGGGGAGGCTGTGACGATTATCAGAGCTTACATGTATTTTAAAGTTCGTTACTCTCGTAATCAAATTGGCGGAGTGAAATGAAAGTTCAGGAAAGACCTACTGAGCTAAATTAGGTTTACAGTACGATTTCTGTAATTAGGGTCACCTAAAAGACTGACCAATCCGATTTCAGAAAGCGAGCATCGCATTCCATTTGAATTTATGTCATGTTTGCCTTATTCGGTCATATTTGTTACCTACAATGTGATTGGTCCATTTAATTTAATCGACCCAATGACAGTAAAGGAAATCTGTTTTTTTTCTAATCGTTCTTCTCCATCTTTCGGTAGCGAATGAAAATTTCTTCGAGAATCCTTTTTTTAGCAAACTAATACTTCATTTGTTTCTTCTGAATTGAAAAGAAACTTCTCAGTTTGCCTCAAAGTTCAAGGACCTACTTACACTCTAGTTTGTTAGGAATGTATTTATTCCTCGATCAGTTTTAAAGCATACAAAAAAAATTATAATGGCGTAAATCAAGCTGAAACATGTCTATGAAAAGTATTATTAATAGTGAGTTTGAAATTTATTCTGGTATTTCAAATTTCGCGCGCCATCACTTCATCATCATCATTCACCATCATTTGAAAGGAAAGTCTTTCAAAAATGTCCATATAGTTGAATAGGCAGTCAAAACAGTACTTAGAGATTTATGCGCAAGTATCGAACGTGCACGCTATAATTCAATTTCTTCAATCACTGCATCTAAGAGTTGAACTTTACAGATAAATTATGTCGTTGACAGACGTGATCTTTTTTTTTTTTTTTTTTTTTTTTTTTCAAAAATACTGCTCAAATTTACAGCTATTTACTCTTCATACAACTTAGACCTTAAAACAGCAAAACCTAATTGAAATTATTTTCAGTCGACACAGATCCTATTGCACAAAGCCGGTGATCTGGTTAACCAAATAATTGTTCGATTCTAAATCACTTCGTTCACTACGTGCATGGAATTGTAAATTTTTAAAAAAAATAATATAGTAGTAAATCAAATTATGGTTGTATGAATATTAACTGAGGATTGGATGTGAAAAGGATTAAACAAGGTTTTTTTTTTATCTGACAAATTTCATCCATTTTATCAACAGGGAGCTGGCTTAACCCTTTAACTACTAAAAGTGATTAACTTGCAACTTCTTATAATATCTAAACATTATCCAGCAAACAGGTAATGAAAATACTCAAACTTATCTGGTAGAACTTGCTATCTTGATCAAACACCAGATACTCGTAACTAGCTTACGAGGAAATGTGTAGCAGCTAGAAGGAAGAATTCACAATCTGATCTTGGAAGTTAAGGGGTTAAAAACGTTAGCGAGCTCTAAGAAACTCAGAACATTTTAGACATGGACATTTTAGGAATGAATAACCGAAATTAAACGGATTTATTGGCAAGCCGAAAGAAACAAAAGCTTAATCGATTGCACCAAAAGGAAATGAAAAGTATGTAACATCTCGTTTGTAAAAACACTCTTATTCGTAATACATTCTAATTCTATACATGATGATAGATTACGTCTGACCCTAAACAAGCAAACTTCACGTTTAATGCGAACTTGGTTCCCTGGAAATTTATCAAAAGAGGTGCCGTCTTTAAATTTCTGAGAAAACAGGAATTCAAAAAAAGATTTCAAGCTGAGAAGACGGAACTAGGAAATATATGTACATGAAGATAATCAGAAAAATGTTGTTTGAAAAGTTAATTATAAGTTTTGCATTTTGCAGATTATAGGATAGGCAACATCTGCGATTACCATTGCACATCTGCAATACCTATTGCATTGTAGACGCACATAATCACTAAAACAGCTGTTTAGTAATTATTAATTTTGAAAGCAGATGTATCAATTGGAAATTGGACCATTTTTAACATAAACGCGTCTGAGACGACAAAGACTCTTTTAAAACTGACAAATTGGAACACGTAGGTACATTTACATAAAAGAGTCCTACAAAAACAACATCTCGCTAAGTAAATTAAGTTAATATCCTAATAATGAAACTCTGTATCAATTTCAAAATGAAAATGAATTCATGTCATCAAGAAGCTTAGCAGTTTCCCGTTTCTTCTAGAATGCAGATTTTAAGCTAGGAATTGAATTAGATTGCTCACAAACAAGACAGTTTGACCTTATAAATCCCTTATACAGTTCGGGGTTTCGATGTTGAAAATGAAATAGGCACACAGCCATGTATTGTTTGGATATGGATAATTTGAACGCATAATATGCTTACCTTGGCGGGAACTTCCACCGAATCATCCAGTTCTTTCATGGAGGTTATCTCAATTTCTGACTCCGTTCTTAAAGCTACTTATGCTTTCTAAACCACACCTATGATAAAATACATTTCTTCCCTACAAGGGTAAGAAATCTATCTGAACTTGAGGCTAAACTTTAAGAAGCCACATCAATGCCTTGGATCCATTAGATTGCTGCACAATCATCGGGTGACAGAAAAGAAAGAGCTTTCTTTTTTATGGCCAAAAGTTATCACTAATGCCTCCGAGATGAAGCTGACGATCTGATAAACATTGCACGTGTAAAATGTTTTTACTGTAAGCAAAATGTTCTTTATGAAAACAGTAGTTGAAAGGTGACAGTGCGCTCAAACTTGCCAAACCTTTTGAAAAAAAAAATTGAAAACACTAACTTCTATTATTAACTTATGGTTACAAAAACTTTATCGTGTAAATGCTGCAATTTACAACATGCACAAAACTACAGGTGACTGACAATGATCAACTGAAGGAAAGAGAGAATGAGGGAATTACATCCTTGGAAAACAGATGGTCGAAGTATTCTCACCCAGATAGCATTTGCATTAAATCAAAGGGAAAGCAGCTTAAAAATCAAACTTAGAGCAAGATGAAGGATGTTAGACAACAACATAAACAAAAAGTGGCTTCTTGAATCAACAGTTTAACTTCTCACACAGAAGGTCAGATAGTTGTCACTGTCATTTGGTCTTTTAGTTATCATTATAGAGCAAAATACACAGAGTGTTAATTAACTGTACGCAGTGATATTCAATAACAGGTAATTACAGCATTTCAAGAATTATATCATGTGTCATCTCACAGTTTAGGTCTCTCTTCTGATGTAAACAACACCTAGAAATAATTTTTACACTGAAAACCTTTACAGTAAGCTTAGAGTCCATGATATATTTCAGTATCTTAATTTGAAAACATTTGTATACAGAGATTTGGTTCGCACAGGATTTTATCCCTCTGGAAAGCATTTTATTATTCTGTGGTGTTGGATGATTACCATCAGACTAGATCTTTCTGTGACATTTTGGAATCTCTCCAGCACACTCACCAAGTGAGACAAAAACAACTCAAGATCTCTTA